TTAAGATTATGAACACGAACATTGCATAGAAGGCAGAGTCATTAAGTGGCACCTACGGGTCTGGGGTATCGGGTTCGAATCTGGATTAGTTGAAAAACTGTGAAACTTTTACTTTTTTAGACCTTAATTCTAAGAAAATGTGATTTTAGACATAGGCAGTATAGGGCCTCATGCTTTTAGAGGCCCAAGATATGCATGAATATGTTTCTGTGTCTCGGATTCATGTAGTAACTAGGATTCTAAATCATGTACAACATTATGTTATATGAAATTATATGAAAGGAGACTCACAAGTCCATATTATTCTAGGGCCTTATACAATCTAAAATTGCCATAGTTTACTATAATGTATACTCCAGATCACGAAGAAATTGAAGAAATAGTAAAAAATAAAATAAGTATTTAATAAATAATAGAATCAATCTTTATACATGATTCATTTCTTCTTTCAAAAACATCAGTTCTTTAATATTAGTAGATTTTTTCTCTAAAGAAAGAAGAACGTTTTAAATAATTATTTCGTTTTTCATTTGCAATGAAACGAAATCTTTAATAATATTAACTTATAGAGGTGATACCAGAAAAATCATTACATCTTGGTCCCAGACAAAGAGGACCCCAAAATTTAATGTTTTATATAAGAAAAAATAAATTTAAAGTAGTATAAACTAATTTTTATTTTAATTAGTAGTAGAAAATTCTTCTTTTTTAATGAATTTATTCATGGTTTTCGAAGAGGTGGAACATCACGAAAGAGATGTGCCTCATCCCATATCTCTCCTGATGCTCTATCTTTTCTCTTGATGAGTTTAAATCATCTAAATTCTCTCAAACCTTCTTTAAATTAAACATTTTGATTTACATTTATTAAAAATATTTTTAAAAACTGAGATTTTCTTTATTTATCTTACATTTAAATCGAATTATTTAATATTTTAATCTTAATTTATTTAAAGATCAATATATATATATATTTTTAAAAGTAAAATATATTTCCTTATTTTTCCATAAATTATTATTGAAGAAAATTAATTTTTTTCTTCTCCTTAAAAAGAACTAAATCTCTATTAAGTGGACAATAAAAAGTAAGCAAAAGAATGAACAATGATTGTCCATTTTCAGAAGCTATTCTTTGACAATAGGCAATTTACTACGTACTTGTCCAGATGTTATTGATAGCTTTGTGGCAAACAAGTTGCTGATTGCTCCATTGTAATTGGGACAAATCAAAATTACTTTCATTCTTTATCCATCAATTTTTTATCATTAAAACTCTTTAAAATCACTATTAATTTCAATTAAAATTCAATTAATTTCGTCATTTAAACAAAATTAATTTTTCTTTTATATAAATAGTTTTTACGTTATAATTAGTAAGACACTGAACACAGGTACAATATATTAAAATGGCAAATTCCGGGTTACAATTTTTAATCATATTTTTTAATTTATTTAATTTAAAATATATGCTGTCCACCTCAAATTAGAAGTGACTTGTTGCCCCTGTACATCATACTTTTCCTTTAAACAATAGAGTCGTGCCGGTCATAGATTAACTGCTTTCAAGGGAAACGTTTTGAATTGAAATAACGTATATATACTTGATCGGGGCTTCATGCCTATATGGTTTCCATATCTGGTCTCGTTTATCATCTATCTAACTACTTTCTAGAGATTAAGGAAAGACAAACAGACGGACGACAGTGGTAATTTATAGATCTACAATTTTTTTTTTTCAAATTGGAACCCAATAAACAACATTAAAAACTCTTCTTATATGCTGTAAATAATGAAATTTATCACAAAATAGAATTTATTAAATACAACAAAATGAAATGGGAAGAATAATTTGAGGCCTCCTAAATGTCGAAACTGAGCCAAATGGCTTTGCTGATATAAGGTCTAAACGTGTTTGTTTCATCTAAACTTATCCTAATATATTATTAGTGTTGAATTAAGAAATTTTGTACTGCATTAATGAGATAAAACAACACAATTTTGCATAAACCTCCCGGGAGTACTTTCTATAGAAAACTGGTTCTGTTTATGTGTAAGAAACGTGAAGAAAACCCGAAAAACTCCACGTTCGTCAGGTGCGAACCCGAAACAAATTACAGCCCTTACGCAAAATTTGAGATCTAAGGATTCCAAAAAAAAAACAATCAACAATTAAATTTGCTGTACAGTGTTTAGCATTGGATCCTATTAGAAAAACTACAAATGATAACAGTAATCAGTGAAGTAGTAAGTAGTAAGAGCAATTGCCTGAGGTGGGGCCTCAGGCAATTGCCCTTTTTGCCCATAGGATAAACAACTTAGAAATCGATTTAGCAACTCCTGTCAGATACGCCCTGCATTCAAATCCAGTCCTTTAAATTATATAATTTGAAAACAATTAAACAATTTTTTAGACTTTCAATGTTTTATAAAAAAAAAAAAAAAAATTATTATTTGTTTAAAAACAAGAAAAAATTATGAAATCGTGGTGATTACCGTGTTAAAAAAATCCAGCAACGAGTTGCTTAACTTTTCCGGCAACGTTTAAAATTGCGTGTGGCGGTATCTGTTATGAGCTTTTATTTTAAAATTTTTTATATTTTTAATCATTATAAAATTGCAAAAAGGTTAATTTTAAGGTTAGGGAGGGATTTTATAAAATTTATAAATGTTAATAACGAGTAAAATCGTCGTTATGTCCGATCCTACTGGAGATGACACACCTTTATTTCTTCACCCCGTCGACCTTTAATCACCAAAATTTAATAGCATTAATCTCCCTAATACACAAATCTGGCTGCAAAATTTCAGAAATTTTCGACAAAAATCACGAGAGTTATTAAGCTTCAAATAGGGTAAACAAAATTTATGATTTTTAATTTATAGTGTATTCGAAAACTTTATAATTAGATTTAAAATGTAATACTTTTATTATAATAACAAAGTAAATTATGATAGAAATATGGCTAAATATTTATGACCTTATGGAAGAAAATAATTGTCAAAATGCTTTTAGTGAAGAGTTAGTAAGGATTAATAAAATGGAAATTTCATGTTATGTACTGCATATATTAAACGTGCTGGCACTTATATGTAATTCTCATTTTCTTATAATAGTTAATCGAAAAGAATAAATGCTTAATCAAAACTAATGTTTTTCTTTTACATAAAGATCATTATATCTTAACAAACTGTTTTGATAAACTTAAAAATAGAGTTAACTCAATTAGTGTCTTGCCCCTGTAAATCACACTATTCCTGTTAGCAATAGAGTCGTGCCGGTTATCTATCTAACTCCATTTAGGGGTCAATTTTTGAATTGAAATAATGTTACTTCCGTTCTAAACCGGAAGTTTCTGTATCGTTAATCTGGGCCTCCTTCTCCTAAGCTTTCTATATCTGGTCTTATCTTTCACCTATCTTACTCCGTTCTCGAGATTTAGGAAGGACAGTGGGAATTTAGACCTATAAATACCCATTGTCAATTTTTAGATTATGGATATATTAAATATTGAAATAATGAAAAAATATTTTCAATAACATTAGAATTATTAAAGCTGATAGAGTAATTTTTTTTGTACGTAGAAGAGACTAAAATGTTTTCATTTTTTTCACGTCCAATCACCAAGGGCAATAGTCTTATATTGCAGAGGTGTAGCCTATAATGAAGGTCGTCTCTGCAATGGAAAACGTTATTCCTGCTGATTGCACATGGAAAAAAATGAAGACATTTTGCTCTCTTCTATGTATTTTTTTAATGTGTAAAACTCGTCAGCCATTTTTAAAAGTACGACATCTTTATGATGTATCATTAACTTATTAATTAAGATTTGTTTTATGCTATTTTATATTTAGAAATGTAGAGAAATGTAATTTACATTTTATATTTAAGTTTTTTATTTATTTTGAAATAAGTTATGTTCGATAGTAAGAAAAAACAGATCAGTTATAGAGCCTCAGTTTTCACTAATACACATATACAAAAGACACTTAAATACTGTAATAACATATTTTCTAATATTAGTTACAATATGATTTTCTTCTCCCTTTAGACCCATTAAGGACTGCTGAGACATTCATAGCTAATTGTTTCAACATATTTATACCAAATTCTTTCTGTGCATTTAATTAACTGGTCGTTGAAAATGCTATTAAATCATGTTTTAATGTAACGAAGCATTTGATAATCAGCTGGCTTGATATAGAGGCAGAATATAGGTTCGATATAAGCTTTCATTCTGTTAATCTATTAAATACTAGTAAATAACCATATAAGCTTGTTGGCCTTATTGTTATAATTAACAGATTTATCACACACCTTTCCGATTTCTTTAATTAACACTTAATATCATGTAATGCATTTCGGTTTTTATATGTAACCCGGCTGAGGAAGTCTATTTATTAAAATAAAATTTCATAAAAGCCGGGAAAGTTACGCAACTCATTGCTAGGTTTTTTCATAACAAGTATAGAAAAGATATTATTAAAACAAAAATTATTATTGCTACTTTAAGCAATAATAAAAGCATCCAAATGGAAATTGATGTATGTAGGAAATTCAGGGTTCTAACTTTATGGCACACTTAAACTTCAAATTTCTTCAAAGTGAATTAAAAAAAAAGTACTTACTTTTATCTTAATGAAATTCCTGGAAACATTGAATGAGATTCTTCTTCTTTTTCAGCATTATTAGTCACACCTCAAGTCTAGTCGCTGTCTACTCCACTTCGTTCCATTCACCACTATAACAACGTTCATATTCTCTGCTACATAATCCATCCACTTCTTCACGACCTCCTGCTAACTCTTTCACCTGATACTGACAACTCTAACATTCTATTTCTCATATATTTTTATAACATATACAGTAAAATCTATTTAAAACAGAAACTTGCCTAAATAAATTTGATCTTTCTGATTTAGAATAGAATATTACTTTTAAAAATATAATAATTATTATTATATAATGTAATTAAATCACTTGAATTTTTATTTATTTGAAGACAGTGGCATCAAATGCTTCGAATGCCAATCTTGGGTGGATCCAAAATGTAACGATCCATTTAATTTATCAGTGTATCCAATTGATTTGCCCCATCATGAAGAATGTAAGGGATGCTGCGTTAAAATTCTTACAGATATCGGTACAGGTAAGTGAATAATATTAAATATTTTCAGGTTCATAAATAATTGTACGAGTAAAATATCCAATTTTATCATTCCTGATTTCTCAATTAGGAATGGCTTATGCTTGTTCTTTCGATCTTTTTCTGAAAAATTATCTTTTATATTTCTTTCCTGTTATGTTAAATTGATTCCACTAAGGGATAAATTTTAAATAAAATGCATACAAATATCAATTTTATGCTTATTAATCTGATTTTGCTGTATACTGTATCATATTTACTGAAAAATTTTAATGAAATGACCGGTTAAATAATGGGATGAAAGCACTCTAAGATCTTAAGGTACTTTCCACTCAGGAAACCCAAAAGTATTTTTCATTTCGTAATGGAAAGTGCCTTAAAAGTTCCAGACTTAAACTCTTTCAGTAAACAATTTAAGTAAAAAAATCAAAAACATGTTTCAACATCTAATTCAAATAAATTTAAATCAATACAATTCACCTCATTACAACGTGTGAATCTACAAGGACAGTGTCATTAATTAAATCATTTACATATAATTAGCGGGTCATATAGAGCCTATTTAACACTACAAATGTAGTTATATTATAATAGAAACATGTCTTAAATCTAATGTCTTTGTACAAACCCGTTAAGCTAATATTTATTCAATTGTAAAGCAAACAATGCTGCAATTCAAATCGTAAAGCAAATTAGTGCTGTAATTTAAACATCGCAAATCTAAACACAAAAATTATGTTTTAATTTTTTAAATTTATTTCTTTGTAACACGCTAGAGTTACCATCCCTTGTATATAAGTTATAAGTTTTTATTTGTTACTAGAAGCCATTAGCTTTATTATCTTCTATCCTTCTTGATGCTTTTAGATGCTACTTAGGATTTGTATTGCCTTTCACTATACTCTCCCATTACATCCTTGTAGAGAAGTTGTTTATTAAGTTACTTTATGTAGTTATAACTATCACGTAAGTATTTATCAACAAATATTATATTTACTGTATCTTTCATACTTTTTTCATTCATCCTATCTGCTCAATGGAACCTTCTCTCTTCTTTCTTCTTCATCTCCTTCTTCCTTTAGAATACTCTTGAGTAGGTTCTAGCCCTTAATAATAATAATAATTATTCAATTACATTATCTATTAGATGACACCAGAACTAGATACACTGAAAACTTTTGTATCTTTCATAGTATTTATATTGATAACTCCTCAAAAATTAAACTTTACACACATAGAACATAGACCAAACACTAATAACTTCTTTTAATTTGTGATGCCTACATCTTTAATTTTTAAATAATATAAGAGGGTTTTTAAATTATTTTCTCTAAGAATATATATATTATTATAATCATAATCAATATACAAGGCAATCCTCGACTTTCGGACAATTCCATCTTTCGTTCGTGAAACTTTGATGCCTAAATTCGCTTTTCGTACGCCGAATTTTCATTTTTATGCTCGCCAGATCGCCCACACTTTCTATAGGACTTTCTATGAGAAACTGGCCACTATTTGGGTGTTACAAACGTGAAGAAAACCTGGAAAACTCCACGTGGCCATCCCTTGAACCCACGACTTGTGTTCAGTGGTTTCATCCACTCGAATCACTGATGGGCTTTCATAACAAGCAATTCTAAACGTTCGACTTTAGTACACATTTTTAACGAAAGTATTACGTCCAAAATTCGGGGACTGCCTGAAACTTAGACAATAATTTACATAATTTTTTTAAAAAAATGTTTATGTTTCAGATCATCAAAAGATACGAAGAACTTGTACAGAACGCCTACAGATAAATCTATTTATGGTTGATCATGTTTGCATGAATCAAGGCGACGGTAAAGGAAAAATGTGCTTTTGTGAAAGAGATTTCTGTAATGGTGTAAATCATTTGAACACTGTCTTCAGTATATACTTGTTGACGTCACTTAGTGCCTTCGTCACGTGGTACACGACGTCCTCTTTGTGATCTTTTGACATAATCTATCGACCCCTTATTTTCGGAGTCTAGTTTCGAAGAATAATGCTTAAATATGGTTCCATCGAATTAAATATATAAATATATTTATTTTCTTTGTAAAAGAATAAAAATATATAAGAATGTTGATCTCGTCCGAAAGGAAATAAAAGAGCATTTATTACTTGAAACTAGACAGTAAAATCTATTTAAAACAGAAACTTGCCTAAATAAATTTGATCTTTCTGATTTAGAATAGAATATTACTTTTAAAAATATAATAATTATTATTATATAATGTAATTAAATCACTTGAATTTTTATTTATTTGAAGACAGTGGCATCAAATGCTTCGNAATTGTTTTGGGCCTCCAGAAATCACACATTTAAATATATTGCCTTTTTAAGCCTTATTATAGTTAACAAGTGAATGATGGAGGCCAAAAAGTCAATGATATTTATTTTAGTTTGATAACTTTGTTATCGATTTAGATGTTTACATGTCGTGTGTTTAGTATTATACATATTCATATAAGTAAAAAAAAAGAAAAAAAAAATAAAAGACCAAAATATAAATTGATTTTGGTCCGGTTAAGCACTTAGTTTGTAGCAACACTAGCTTTTTTCCTTCATCACATCTGAGCTTAGTACATCTACCTGTGACGAAATGACATCGTCACAGTTTTCAAACAATTTAAAAATTCAAAATATATCTCTGTGCAGAGAAATCTTCTGATTAACAATCAAATTTATCGTATTTCGCTGATTAGAGGGGGTTTCTTACCTTCTATTTTTCCCTCTCCACAAATTATCAACAAAAGATTTTTACTCTTTGTAAATGCTAGTTTTTTTCTTGTTTTAGTTTTCTCTTTGAAAGATTTATAAATTGTTATGGGTTGTTAACAAATTTCAAATAAATGCTCATTCTTCTTCAGTGGTAAATTCATTTATTCTTATTAATATTTACATTTACATATGTTTATTTAAATAAATAAAGATGAAAAAAAATTCTTAATAAAGTAATTACATTGCGTAGCCGAATTCAAGAACAAACTAAGAATTTAGAGATAGCTCCTGGCCATCGAGATCCTGTATGGAGCCAGGAGTAAGAACGAGCCTCTTCTATTATGTTTTTATTTTAACAAATGAAATACCTAAAAGATTTCTTTATTAATAAAAATTAGTCTTAAACAATTCTACTTTTTGTTAGTAGAAATAACATTAATTATATATAGGGGTAGGAACCACTCCCTTAATTTTTTCCTCTCGATGACTCTGGATACTACTCCTGAGGCTCCTATTAAAATATAAAGTTTTAATTTTCAATTATTAAAATATTTTACTAAAATTTATATTAATTTAAAACTTTAACGACCAGTTTTATATGAGAAACAAAAATAAATGAAGAGAATCTTTCCTTTTTTCGTTTTTAAAATTCATAGCATTTACACATATAATGAATTATAAATATATCAGTAAACAAAGATTACACCAAAATACAACTTTCGATGCAGACAATACCAATTATATGAAGCAATATTAAATTACAAATGGCTGCAATTGTCAAAGAATGAATGAAAAAAATCCGTATTGCAACATATCTCGTAGATGAAAGAATTGTTAATATTCATCGAAACTTTACAGAAATAATACAAATAAACTGAAAAAATAATGGTAAATTACGTATCAGTGCCGGATTTGACAATTACGACCCATCGCAGATGACTCGTTACATGAATATTGATGAATATACTGTAGCCTAATTGAAAATATTCTGACACCCACCAACTGTAAAAAGAAATGCAGTTGTTGAATACCAAAACAGACTACTAATGGCCAAGTGGTTCCGTTCCTCGAACACTTGGTCGTGGGTTCGAGCCTCTCCGGGGCTGCCCACGTGACGTTTTCTGGATTATCTCCACGTCTTTAACGCGTAAATAAGGGCCAGCTACCCTTATGTTATGTTATTACCGGTGATAAAAAATCAAGTGAATCCACTATACAGTAGACCCCTATAACGCGGGTTCATATAATGCGGATTCGTATATCGCGGCGAAAAAATTGCGACCGTATTCGTATAAAGACGCTAAAAGCGACTCGTAAAATGCGGTAAAACGTCATCGCCGACTTGTGTCGCGACAGGATTGGTCAAACCTAGACCAATAGTGGACGACCAGCCGAACTACTTACACCTTACGGAGAGTTTAGGCGGGTAAGTTGAGTTTACTATCGTCTGTACAGTATATAGGCCTAAATTAGGTACTGTAAGTCTAATACAGTACTGTAATTTTATACATTTCTTATGAAAAAAAAACATTTTTTATTCAACGGCCATAAAAATTATTTCTATTAATGATTTTTCCAAAGTTCAATGAATTTTTCGCAGAAAAATAACTTGTCAGAAAATGCGCCCGCCGTTTGGTGCGCTGCTCCGCGACGAAAACAAGCTTAAGCAATGGCGTCGTCGAACGGTGCACACTCGGTAAGTAATCCTACAATTTTTTGTTTATAGCATAGATTATACGGATTATTCCCAAAAAATTATACGTGTTTTGGAAATGTTGAGTGAAATTAGTCTAGAATCGATTAATTTTATGGAAGAAAACCTTTTAAACAGCCGTAGTCCGTAAACTGCACACGTGCCGGGCTGTGATTGGCTCATGTATTTAAGGATTCCTACAACGCGAAATTCTTATAAAGCGGAACGTATCTACCGCGTTATAGGGGGGTCGACTGTACTATAAAATATGAAATTCGGCATCAACTCTACAGCAATTCCTATTCTCTAGGCATGAGACTGACTGAAACATATTGAATGGAACAAAGCTTTATAAATATAATTAAATTTTACTGTTTTAAAGATAGAAGCCAGTAATTATTACAAAAACATTTTCTAGTTAAAGTCTCATAAATCTTGAAACTAATCTAGAATTATTGATCAAATAAATTTTGATCAATATATCTAGAAAATAATCGAAAAAATATTTAAAAAAGACTTTGATATTTTAAATTTTTAAACCATAAAATAGCAATAAACATTTCCATAAAATCAAATGAATGGCAAAACTCGCCACCATGGCACTTTTGGCACTGTAAAGCAAGAAACATTTTATTCGTATAAGCTGGGCTGTAATAACTATCCCAACGACTTTCTCCTCTCCCAATGCAAACTGCCGTTCGAGACAGTAAATATATCTTACCATAGAGTAAGACATACAGAAACTATGGTTCCAGATGTGTTTCCACAAGTGACCACATAGCTCATATAAAGGAATAAGCATCGAAAAATGTTATACATAGCCAATCAGATTAGTTCACCTATAACACGTGATCTATATTATGCTTATACAAATCTAACGTGGCATTTCAGCAAACCGGAAATGCTGTCGTGATTTGCCGCTTGGAAGATTTTCGAGTAGCCTGCTTACAACACGTTTTCATTTAAAAGTTTTTACGTAATCTGCATATATTTTGATAGTTATATATTTATCAAATACTTTCCTAATTACATTCGTGTTTATAGTTCTTTGGGATGAAAACGATTATTGTTTCGGACGATAATAATGGCGGCGCATCCGGTTTCGATACGGTACGGTTATATCTTACGTTCTAAAATTTATTTTTTTAATTTATACATTCTGTATTTTCCCTAAATATCCGTCTTTCGCATAGCTAATAAACGCAATTAATTTTAAATTATTCTTTGTTTCGTAAACATAGGGGTTGCCCATAAATTACGCGGGTGAGTATGCTGGTAATCGCTACGGTACGTTACAACGGGTAGAGTTTACAATAACGTTACGTAATGCTCTGGCCAAAGTTGTCATGAATAAAATGTGACGATAGACGTTACTTTTAGAAAATTTTTATACAAACAATCTATCTAAACAATTACCTAAAAATAACCAAATGTGACTGCTATTTAAGTGTTTATTTATTGATGCATTCATTATGCATAATATACAGTGGGTGATCGGTTAACGAACATAATCCGTTCCCAGGCTTTGTCGCTATCCGAATTGTTCGTTAACCTATTATCGATTTACCATAGGTTTTAATGGAAATTTAATTAATTCGTTCTGGAAACTCCCCAAAATAAAAAAATATATACTTTCTTACTACGTTTATTTATATATAATAATAAAAATACATACGTACACAGTCTTGCCTTTTTATTAGTCATGTTTTTTCAGTTTTAAAGGGTTAAAGAATCTGTTTAATGTCGATTGCTTTTCTCCCTTCTTCAGGATTTTTCGTAAGTAATTAATAGCATTGCAATTGTAGAAATCCTTAAGCCTCAACCTGGTTTGGATGCCATTCTAAGACCGTTGTTCTGACATCCTCACACTTCTTCAAAGGATCTTTAATAACAGATATCGGCATTAATCCTCTTTTTCAGAAGAAAACATATCTCGCCGAGTTTCTTGGTGTTCTTCATTCAAGAGTTCATGGCATTCTTCTGTCGTCAGATCCGTTTCAGGTTCCATTATGAACTCTTCGATGTTCTATATTTCTCAGATGTGATTTTTGTTACTCGTTTAGCTGCTTGAGTCTTCTTGATTATACAGTATTTTTCTTAAAAAAATGAACTGCAGCCTACTGTAGACTTATAACGCCATACTGCCCAGCAACATTAGGCATCTTCTGCCAACTCTTTACCTTTGCTATTATATTCTCACCTTACAAAAAAAAAACAGACGCAAAACTTAACGAGTGCCTACCCGACAGTCTCACGAATACATAAAAGAATTATTTTCTCATAAAAATAAAAGGCTGGAATTATAAGGGAGAGTTTTAAAGTTCGGAGGAATACTATCCGATCGGTATATACCGGCTTGAGCGTAGATTTCGACGTCTCCCACACTCCGAAAAGTTTCGAATTGTTGCCCGAAGACTAGGAAAGTCCAATCGGTATTCGTTATTTTACGTCGCTTCTTCTTGTGTTTGTTCTGTGGGGTGTTCGTTATCCGATCATGTGTTCGTTGTCCGAACATAAAAATCTTTCGCAAAAGTGTTCGTTATCCGATTTGTTCGTTGTCCGATCTGTTCGTTAACCGATCACCCACTGTATTTTTTAATACATTTAACTCTAGAATATATTCTGTTTAATTACTAGATGTTAAATAATATTTATGCCTATTTATATTTAAATTACTATCCTTATCTGCTAATTGCTTGTACTCACCTCTCCTTTCTGTATTAGGCCACTTGAAAATTCGTGACAACTAATTCATTTTTCTTTTCTTGAAATTACTTGGAATTAAGAACAGTGCACAATTTGAAGTTAAATTCAATGTAAACTTAAATAGATAATTATTTCTTGTCTATATTCTGTGCCTTGACATATTTTGTATCGAAACTAAAGCACTTTGAAGTGGCGCCACGTTTGGCACTTATTGCCATCTAACGAGAAATTTCGTTAAGTGAGTAGGACAGGTGGAAAGAGCAATGGTATGGCTGGTAATTATCATATCCCGAGTCACGCACGATTCCGGGACTAAGTTTACCTGAACACTACCAGTGTTCAGTAGTTTTCTCAACTGAACATCAGTATTTGATCCTGAGCTATGACAACGGTTCCCAAGCTTTTTTGAGTTGAATGCAGCCCATTTTCATAAGTTTTATTTCGCATGTTCGTCTAGCAGTAGCGCATTGCTCAATTATACAACGCTATACAATTACATGTAATAAAAAAATTTTTAAATCGTAAAGCGTTGGAGGAAGGATATAGATAAATGTATTACAAAATACGTATATTTTTATTCAGTATCGAGCGCCATGACGTCGTCAAAAGCCTCAACGCAAAATCCGAATATGATTATTGTACATACGCCATTATTAATTTTTTTCTTTTTTGCGTACCCCTCGCTTAAAAGTTTTTCTTAAGATTTTTCTTTTTAACCCTTTCCACTATGAATGAAGTGCGTCTTCTTCTTTCATGAAAACTTCCTATAAAGATTTCTGGGATCCAGATTGTGACTTGAACTCGAATCCGGATCCCCAGACAAGCACGTTTACGCAAGAAATGTGTCGTCCTTCAATAAACGACCATTTTCAATAAACTTTCTATTTTACTTCAGGTAATTAAATAAAAAGAAAATAAATCAAAAAATGATATTAGAATAGAGATTTAATCATTCAAAATTTTTATCCATAATGAATATCAATCTATTAGATCTAAACGTAATAATCTTTTTGATTTCGAAATTTGTACAGAAATTCTTCAAATCTCTGAAGATCCTCACTATTGACGGAAGGTCGTGTTTTTTTCATTGCTTCTTGGAAGTGACGCATTTCAATCTGGGCAATGACATCCTTGTCTGTTCCTGAATTTTCAATATCCTCTTTTATAGCTAATTTACAAGCATTTTTGCAAACTTGACTTAAATCTGCACCACTTAATCCATCCGTGTTTCTAGCGATGGAGTCCAAATCGACATCGCTTGCTAGTGGACATCGTCTCAGAGCAGCCGTCAAAATGCTCTTCCTGTCTGATTGATCGGGTAATGGAACATAAATCACTTGATCTAAACGACCAGGTCTTAGAATGGCAGAATCGATGGCATCCGGTCGATTAGTAGCGCCAATGAAAAATATCTTGTTATTCACATTTATTCCGTCCATTTCTGTCAATATTTGCGTAAGAACGCGATCGGACGTTGAGTTGTCTCCGTCGTAATTAATGCGTTTTCTAGCTATAGAGTCGATCTCGTCGAAAAACAGCACGCAGGGTTCAGCTCTTCTAGCTTTGTCGAAGATCTCTCTCACGTTGGCTTCTGTTTCACCGAACCATTTGCTTAAAAGCTCCGGGCCGTTTATGCAGATGAAGTTTGCTCCACAACTGGAAACCATCGCTTTGGCCAAAAGGGTCTTTCCGCATCCCGGTGGTCCAAATAGCAGAAATCCTCGAGCAGGTGACATTCCGTATCTTAGGAATTTATCGGCGAATTTTACCGGGTATTCGATTAATTCTTGCAATTCTTTCTTAACATCTTCTAAACCTCCTATATCTTCCCAAGATACGTTAGGGTTTTCCACTACGCATCCTCGCAGGACATTTGGACAAATATTTTTTAAAACAGATTTAAAATCACTCATTGTCACGGCCAGAGAATTTATAATTTCATCTGTTAGTCCATTCTCAATGTCATCGAGACATATCTTTTCTCTTATTTGATGGAATACGGCTTCTCTGCAGAGAGAGTGAATGTCGGCGCCAACGAATCCATGCGTTTCTCTCGCAAGCTCTTCTATCTTAACATCTTCGGCCAACTTCATTCTTCTTGTTGCAATTCGAAGAATTTCTAATCTCTCATTAACTTGTGGAATTCCAAAGTATATTTCCCGATCGAATCTTCCGCTTCGACGTAGAGCGGGATCGATATTATTGGGACAATTTGTGGCAGCAATTACAGCCACTCCGTTCATTTCCATCACACCGTCCAATAATGTGAGAAATTGGGACACGATTCGCTTTTCTACTTGTCCCTCGACTTTCTTTCTGCTCGGTGCAATGGCATCTATTTCGTCAATGAATATTATTGCCGGAGAGAGTTTTTCGGCAAAAGCAAATATCAATCGAAGATTTTTCTCCGATTCGCCATAAAATTTGCTTGTGATTTCAGCACCGTTTATTAAGAAAAAGTGTGCTTCAGATTCATTAGCTATTGCTTTGGCCATCAAAGTTTTTCCGGTTCCGGGTGGCCCGTACATTAAAACACCTCGCGGCGGTTTAATTCCCATGTTGTTAAATACACTTGGATATTTCAGAGATAATTCGACTACTTCCCTAATTTGTAATAGTTGGGAATTGTAGCCACCGATATCGTCGTATCCAATAGCATTCATTTCTTTTTCTATGTCTGCTCTTAAGATTGCATTTCCTTCGTAATATACGATTGTTTCCGGAGCGACGATACAAAAGGGATCGGGATCGACCGCAATTATTTTAAACTCGACATTTCCTTGAGGGCCTTTAATAAGAAACAAGTCTCCTTTATATACTGGTCTATATGCCCCCTGAAAGTATGGTTTCAGATAATCGTCGAAAAGTTGACAATTCACTGTCGGGATTGTATCTTCGATTGGAAGAACATGAATTTTTTTTCCATAATCGATATTATTTATGGTACAGATTGTGACGATATCTCCCTCTTTGACTCGTAAATTTATTCTTACGTATTCATTCATTCTGATGTTATCCATTGGACAGGTTGAATCTGCCAAGGCAGTGCAAACTGTTTTTCTGCCATTTCTGCCTTTTAAACGTACGTATTGGGAAATGCCGAGTGTCTGCATTTTTGTTGGCGACAATCTTATTATAGAATTGTCATCTTCTGTATGCTCCACAATTAATTTGTTGAGTTTCCCACCGAAATCAGACTGAGAAAATGCCATTTTCAAAGTTGGTATTATTAAAAATAGGTTTGCAAAAATTAATTTTGTTAATTTAACAATAGTGTGGATTAACAATAATATAGTTTAATTACGTCAACAAAGCCAGAAACAACAAACCGAAAGATTTCGAATTTCATTGAAAAGATATTTCATTTTTTCATTATATTTATTTTCATTTTTGGAAACAAATATCAAATTGAATAAATTGATGCTTATTTATATCTTCATAGAAACATTTATTGTGTACATACATACATAATTTTACTCCATAATTTAATTTTTAATGCGTAATTTAAAATGTATAAATGTGGCTAGTAAATTCAGATATCCTATTTACTAAACTTATTGTATTAAATTTGAGACTGGCATGTACCAATCATGACAATCCAAATGTAACATTAAAGTAAGGTAAGTAAGTCTAAATGATACTACAATTAGTGGAATTTTAGCATATGTTCTTTTAATTTTAAACACGCTGTACTGAGAACAAGTACAGAATTCAAGATGAAGCCCTTACTAAGCTACAGAAAAGTGTTATTCACCAAAATTTAACTTAAATTCATCACTATCTTCAAAATTAAGCTTTTTTGCCATTATATAATAATTAAAAAATAAAAAGGTTTTATAACAAAATCTCTTAACGGATGGCGCCACACACAATTTTATTTATGATTAATAGTATAAAAGCTATTTTTAAAATAAATTCTCATAACAGCCAGGAAAGTTACGCAACTCGTTGCTGGATTTTTTTTCTATCTCTGTGGCAAAATGAAGTATATGCGAGAGTATTCAGATCTGTGATATTGAATTGAATTCTTTACACAGTGTGGGGACTGCGCAATAATTTTGATAAATTAATTGAAAATCTACACTCATGTTATTGTAGATTCATATTGAAACTGGACAAAACAACTTTTGCATTATATATTAGGAGGGACTTAAGGCAACCTTTACTTAAGCTATATTTGATTAAACAGATTTTTAGTTTTTTTGGAGCAGGTTGCTCACTTTTCCAAAAGATCTTGTGCAAATCTGGAAAAAATGGCTAGAAATATAAATATAAATATGAAAACGCACGATGAAAGAAACGTCACCTGTAAAAATTAAACACGTTTTGGATAACGCTTGATTTTCCTTTTATCTTTTCCTTCCAAGGTTCATGGGTGTTACAGGAGAAACTAGGAGAAATTCTATTTGTTATTAAATATGTGTAGAATGGAGAAAATAATATTTTAACCAAAAAGATTATATATGACACAGGAGATCTCAATATTATATACTGATATTGTAAATTTTAAATCTTTAATAATTCAATTGCATTTGAAATATGTTATGAAATAATAAATGTTATATTAAAATACCCATTGGTAACATAAAACAGGAGGATGTGGTAATTCATTTATTCAAGTTCTGTACGATTTTGTCACATTAAAAACTTAAGAACGAAGGAGAATGTTTGGCGAAAATTTTAATATCAAGATGATCTTTGGATGTAATTCTTCCTAATTTTTAGACATTTCCGATCGTGATTACACACTATAATATCACAAGCGAATAAGCTCTGATATGTCTGAAAAGATAAGTATGATATGAAAATAGGATAGCATAGTTTACAGATCAATATTTGCATCCTAAATTTGAAGTATTTTCTGTCATCTTAAAGTTTTAAATAGATAATGCCTATTGATATCTGCAAGAAACACCCTAAACTTATTATCGTATAAGCGATAAACGATATCTCATAAACATACAAGAGATAAAAGTATCACAAGACGAGTTTATTACTTTTAAATTGGATTGTACAAGAATGACTTCTAGAATTTTATTCGGAAAAAACATATTTCAAGTAATTCTTTTATATTCCTGATTTAATATAATTTATAAACATTTAATATGTTTATTTTATTAACAGTATGACAGATCATTCAAACTTCTATCGAAGATTTCGTCCTCGTCATATCACTGTAACAGCCTTGGTCCTATGACAGCTCATCATAATAGTTTGCCTCGTCAGCCGGTTCCTCATCTTGGATCGACTTTAGAAAAATATTTAAAAGCTGTCCGTCCTCTTGTAACCGAAGACGAATTTAAGCGCACTAAAAAGGTAAACTTTGCTATAACATTTTTTTTATAATTATCGAGTTATAAGTAATTATGTAAGCGTTACAACATTGATTTGGGCCATCGAAAGGTTAATATGAAAATTTTTTCAATTGTTTATCTACTAAACGCTTTCATACATAAGGTTAGATTTTTAAATCATTTATCAAATGCTTATCTGCAAAGACCGATGAAATTATTTTTTTTTAATTACACCTTTTCTATAGGTTAATCAGGTTGCTTTATATGTAAAAGTCACTAATATTGTGTTCAATTCCTAAATACTGTATACAGGAATTTAGTGTACTTTTATAAATGTATGCGCACTCTCAATCAGAGGTGGACGAGAGCTTGTGTGAGCGTGCTTCGCAGCCCCCTTAGCGGGTTCCTTTTGTCAATTTTTTGAACGAATGAAACATATAGAATGTGTCTGGTGTTTACGACAATTTTTATCGTCTGCGTATTCCGTCATATAGTCTATTGTTTGAAATTTTTGTCACCATCTCGTAGTCTCCGCAAACGTATTGACGCCTCTCTTTATCACATAACAACACGTGATTGGTAAGAATGCTTATTCATTCCAATCTATTGATAATGACGTAATCCACCAATTCGGCAAATTTACCCATGCTTTATGCACCTAACACTCAATTGTTACTTGTTTCTCAATAGTTTAAATTGCTGGAATTTTTTTCTTCAATTATAGTGAGCAAATTATTATTAATTAAAATATAACTTGAAGATTTATTATAATTATTTTTACCTCCTTTCATTGTTATCATTTAAAAAATATTCTATAATTTACACTAATTTAACTATTACAAGTGCACAAGTGTATACTGTTTAAAATAAAAAAATACTATCTAATAAAAAAAAAGAAAAAAACCAAGTAAAGGTTCTTCAAAAATCCGATTAAATAGCCAAAAAACAAAGTAGATTTAAAAGAATAAAATCTTATGGAAAAAAGGACTAGAAGCTTTACGAATGAAAACGAAAAAAAAAACTTTATTTAGTTTTATAAATTTACGAATTATTTTTGGCTTAAAAAATGAAATATCTTTTCAATGAAATTCCAACTTTTTCGGATTGTTGTTTCTGGTTTTGTTGACGTAATTAAACTATATTATTGTTAATCCACACTATTGTTAAATTAACAAAATTAATTTTCGCAAATCTATTTTTAATAATATCAACTTTGAAAATGACATTTTCTCAGTCTGATTTCGGTGGGAAACTCAACAAATTAATTGTGGAGCATACAGAAGATGGCAATTCTATAATAAGATTGTCGCCAACAAAAATGCAGACACTCGGCATTTCCCAATACGTACGTTTAAAAGGCAGAAATGGCGGAAAAACAGTTTGCATAGCCTTGGCAGATTCAACCTGTCCAATGGATAACATCAGAATGAATGAATACGTAAGAATAAATTTACGAGTCAAAGAGGGAGATATCGTCACAATTTGTACCATAAATAATATCGATTATGGAAAAAAAATTCATGTTCGTCCAATCGAAGATACAATCCCGGCAGTGAATTGTCAACTTTTCGACGATTATCTGAAACCATACTTTCAGAGGGCATATAGACCAGTATATAACGGAGACTTGTTTCTTATTAAAGGCCCTCAAGGAAATGTCGAGTTTAAAATAATTGCGGTCGATCCCGATCCCTTTTGTATCGTCGCTCCGGAAACAATCGTATATTACGAAGGAAGTGCAATCTTAAGAGCATACTTAGAAAAAGTAATGAATGCTATTGGATACGACGATATCGGTGGCTACAATTCCCAACTATTACAAATTAGGGAAGTAGTCGAATTATCTCTGAAATATCCAAGTGTATTTAACAACATGGGAATTAAACCGCCGCGAGGTGTTTTAATGTACGGGCCACCCGGAACCGGAAAAACTTTGATGGCCAAAGCAATAGCTAATGAATCTGAAGCACACTTTTTCTTAATAAACGGTGCTGAAATCACAAGCAAATTTTATGGCGAATCGGAGAAAAATCTTCGATTGATATTTGCTTTTGCCGAAAAACTCGCTCCGGCAATAATATTCATTGACGAAATAGATGCCATTGCACCAAGCAGAAACAAAGTGGAGGGACAAGTAGAAAAGCGAATCGTGTCCCAATTTCTCACATTATTGGACGGTGTGATGGAAATGAACGGAGTGGCTGTAATTGCTGCCACAAATTGTCCGAATAATATCGATCCCGCTCTACGTCGAAGCGGAAGATTCGATCGGGAAATATACTTTGGAATTCCGCAAGTTAATGAGAGATTAGAAATTCTTCAAATTGCAACCAGAAGAATGAAGTTGGCCGAAGATATTAACATAGAAGAACTTGCGAGAGAAACGCATGGATTCGTTGGCGCCGACATTCACTCTCTCTGCAGAGAAGCCGTATTCCATCAAATAAGAGAAAAGATATGTCTCGATGACATTGAGGATGGACTAACAGATGAAATTATAAATTCTCTGGCCGTGACAATGAGTGATTTTAAATCTGTTTTAAAAAATATTTGTCCAAATGTCCTGCGAGGATGCGTAGTGGAAAACCCTAACGTATCTTGGGAAGATATCGGAGGTTTAGAAGACGTTAAGAGAGAATTGCAAGAATTAATCGAATACCCGGTAAAATTCGCCGATAAATTCCTAACATACGGAATGTCACCTGCTCGAGGATTTCTGCTATTTGGACCACCGGGATGCGGAAAGACCCTTTTGGCCAAAGCGATGGTTTCTAGTTGTGGAGCAAACTTCATCTGCATAAACGGCCCGGAGCTTTTAAGCAAATGGTACGGTGAAACAGAAGCCAACGTGAGAGAGATCTTCGACAAAGCTAGAAGAGCTGAACCCTGCGTACTGTTTTTCGACGAAATCGACTCTATAGCTAGAAAACGCATTGATTACGGCGGAGACAACTCAACGTCCGATCGCGTTCTTACACAAATATTGACAGAAATGGACGGAATAAATGTGAATAACAAGATATTTTTCATGGGCGCTACTAATCGACCGGATGCCATCGATTCTGCCATTCTAAGACCTGGACGTTTAGACGAAGTAATTTATGTTCCATTACCCGATCAATCAGACAGGAAGAGCATTTTGACGGCTGCTCTGAGACGATGTCCACTAGCAAGCGACGTCGATTTGGACTCCATCGCTAGAAACACGGATGGATTAAGTGGCGCAGATTTAAGCCAAGTTTGCAAAAATGCTTGTAAATTAGCTATAAAAGAAGATATTGAAAATTCAGGAACAGACAAGGATTTCATTGCCGAGATTGAAATGCGTCACTTCCAAGAAGCAATGAAAAAAACACGACCTTCAGTAAATAGTGAGGATCTTCAGAGATTTGAATACTTTCTCTACAAATTTCGAAATCAAAAAGATTATTACATTTAGATCTAATAGATTGATATTCATTATGGATAAAAATTTTGAATGATTAAATCTCTATTCTAATATCATTTTTTGATTTATTTTCTTTTTATTTAATTACCTGAAGTAGAATATAAAGTTTATTGAAAATGGTCGTTTATTGAAAGACGACACATTTCTTGCGTAAACGTGCTTGTCTGGGGATCCGGGTTCGAGTTCAAGTCACAATCTGGATCCCAGAAAGCGTTGGAGGACGTTTAATTAGGATATATCCGGCCGTATCGACAATTCGCATGGTTTAATTAACCATACATCTTTCCGCTTTGTAAGAAATACGTGTTTTTACTTCCATGAACGAAGAAGACGCATTTCGTTCAAAGTGGAAAGAGTTACGAAGAAAAATGTTAAGAAAAGCTTTTTAACCTTTTAATCTCATCATAAATTTTTTATTCTTATTATTTTTGCAAAAGTTCTTAAAATAATTTTCTTATAAATTTATCAAGAATTTTTTTAAGTATATTGAATTCTAAGTAAAACTGACAGAGAGATCTAAAATGATCTTAAATTCGTTATTTTCCGAATTATACAATGCGTTCATAAAAACTATTAGAAACCCAATAGATTAAATTATTTACCAACGCTTTCAGAATAGTTTAAAAAGTACTAAAACATGTTTGTGTTGATTTTGAATCAGATCATAATTTCTTAATTGCAACACTTAAAAATTAAGAAATGTGTTAAATTAATTTTTTCACATTTCTTAATTTTTTCAGTCTTAATTTAAGACTGAAAAAATTAAGAAATGTATAAGAAAAAGACAAGTTCATTTAAAAGTTTTACAAATCCTAGAACTAATAGAAAAAGAAAGAATTTATGACCCAAAATATTATTAATTCCATGAGGAAAAGGAAGTTTAAAGCAATGGCTGTTATAGGATACAAAGATACGCAAGGTAGAATTAAACAAAAAATTAAAGAAGCTAAAAAGAAATGGATGGTTCAAAAGTGTAAAGTAATAGAATCCTCAAAAAGTAAACATGACCATTTTAATATCAATTAGAAAATAAAGGATATTTACATATTGTAGTCAGAGAAGGATTCTTATTTCACTTGGACATTCTTTTTTTCACTATTATCATTTCTATAAAATTTGAGGCTTTCCAAGTATGGATCTAGGCATACAGATCACTTGGCTAGCCAAAATAAAGAATAAGAGATGTTGGAAACAACGAACAGAGATAAAAAAAAAATTATTAGGCTCTAAGAGAAGAAAGATCAGTGGCGCGTTATAGCTTCATGGGATCCTGGCAAATTTAAATTAGGGAGACCATGTAGTACGTACAGTACAATGTTGACTTCAGACATTTTTCTTCGGGAGGAATTTTTTTGGGAAAAATATTTTCTTAGAAAAGATTGGTTTCAGGTCCCATGTTAGTGGGAGCCCTATGCAGGTCCATTTCTGCCCATAAAATAACGCACCATTGTGATTTATCTCGGGACATCTAAGAAATGACTAATACCATATTCCGAAGTTGATTTTGGAAGAAAAGATAGACGGAAAAGAAAATATGGGAGAACACTATCTTGGCAATCTGGAATAAAGATCTGGACTAACAGGAACTCTGAGCAATTGAGGAATTCTGAGGAATCTGAGAATTACCAACAACAGGAATTCTTTGATCTGGAAAATCGCAATTTCACATATATCTTTTAGGCTTTTTAAAATGTCTTTTATACCATACAATACGGTACTTTATTGTACAATCGTCAACTTAGGAAGAAATAAAAATAAAATTCCTGGTGTAACCCATGGTGAGTTTGCTACTTTTTTAAAACAATCTTAGTGCTCACAGGGCGGAAAGGGTTTTAAAAAAATTCCACGTGTTAGATTTTAGTATGATAAATTATGAATTGGAACTATCAAGTATTGATTATTTATCATTTTTATATAAAAAAAATATGTGATTGGAATTTTACTTATCTCTTACTTTGTTAACGTTTAAAAATGTTATCATTTGCAAAAGTTTCCACACAATTTTTTTGTTTATTCTACTTTACTTTTTAAAAGAACCATATCATGTTTCAAATATGGTACAATATGGAAATCTGTTAGGGATGATTCATTACATTATTTGTATATTTATACTGGATTGAAGTAAATAGAATTAAAAAATATAATAATAATAATAATAGACATATGTAGGTTTTTTTATGAGAAACATATTAAACATATTGCAGGAAAATTAACACATTTATCTTAAAATTGGATGATTTTTCAAATATAGAAATTTGCTTATTTGTAAAATATTTTGGTGCTAAAATTGAAATTGAATTTGAAAATTTTTTAGCTAAAATTGTAGCACAAAAATTATAGGAATGTCTTTTATCAGTTAATTTTCCAAAATTAAGTATATAATTTGTGTATATTTTATGTTAATTTTTGAAAATTAACATTAATTTTAGTAATAAATTTTGTAGTGTAAAGTATGTTGTTTTTATATTTAATATTTTTAAAAATTGTTTTTCATTCTGTTCTATCATTAAATTGATTTAAATTTTTTTAATAAAAAACAAACATGAATTACTGTTTTATCAATGTTATAAATGAAATATTAAATTCTGTAATTATAAGTTAATTCAAAAATTAAAAAAGTAATTCTAATATTTTTTTATTATTGTGTTATATTCTAGAATAAATGAATATTGTACTAAAATATAAATTGTATGCTCTAACTTTTAAAAATTAACTTGCAAAACATATTTTATTTCAGTTAGTTGAAGATTTTGCTTCTCCTGGAGGAATTGGTCAGAAACTTCATTCTGTGTTACAAGAAAGATGTAAAACTTTAGATAATTGGGTAAATTTTGTATAAATCTAAGTATTGTATGCATCAATTTTACAAATTATCTTATCAATTTTATCATTTTAGATGGGTGATTGGTGGACAGAGATGGATTTTTTAGAACTAAGACTTCCCATAGTGGGTTTTAGTAATCCATGTGGGTTTTGGGCTGTTGAGAAGTTTCAAAATATGGATGATTATCTAAGGTAAAAATTATCTTTTCAAATATTGAGCATAACTTTATCACATCTTCAAAAATGTCAAGTCTAAAGATCATTGCAATTTGTCCAAAATGTTATGGCTTTAATAATGTTTTTACTGTAGAATAAAACTGTTTCCTCGGTTCCATTCTAAAAGTGTAGGTATCTTAGATCAAACTCCTTACTAGAAAAGTGCTAGATTATCTGTCCATAACCTTGTGTACACTCAAATGTATTTTTGTCACAGTGAATTCTCGGCCTACAGTAGTGTACAGTTGCAATCAGTCTTGACTGCAACTTTACACTGTGATTTGTTTAGTGATTTCATGTAATTATTAATTATAACTAGATTCAATTGCTATAAACTGATCATATACAATAACATATTACACATGATTTGTGTACTTTTGCATTTCAGTTTTGTTCAATCATCATTGGACACTATTTATTATTTCAGTTACACACCCATTGTTAAATTTCTGGCTTGGTTACTGCTGTGGTTTAATCCAGTATTCATTTGACATCTTAAATTGTGTCAATGTTAAATAATTTTCAAATCAGACACTTTAAAAAATGTTTTGCAATTTGTTTAAATACCTCTTATCCCTTTCTCTCTTATGTTATTTTAACCTATCCTTGTGAGCTTAATTAAAATTCTCACAGGGATAGCAGTGATCAAGTCTAGCTAAGTTTTGTAGATATTGATCATTTTGAGCATAGTCTCTGCAAAGATTTTTGACTCATCATCTTCAGATAATTTCCAGCTTTTTCAAAAGAAGAACATTATGAACAATTCTCTGGTTAACAAAAGAAGAAAAAGAAGTAGCGATCACCCAATAAACAAACAACATTCCATGGGAGTAACAAAAGTGAGTCCTCTTGAGCAGAAATTGAATGATATTTTGAAGAATTTTTTTTGTAAAAGCTGGGAATTATCTGAAGAGGATGAGTCGAAAATATAGCTAAAAGAAAACTAACCGAAAAGTCTGCAATTTACAGTACATATATAGATTTTACATTTTTGGTGATAAGAACGTCCAAAATTTAGTTATTAGATATGCCAGCAATACAGCAAAATTTCCCTCTGTATTTATTAAAAATTAAAATCACATTTACTTGGTATAATAATTATATCCTGATGTATCAAGTAATATACTTAAATATACAAAGTAAACATGAATTGGTGAAAGCATTATGTTACATAATCAAAGTTTAGAGTAAATTAATGTTAGAGTATTTATTATGTAATTATTTTATATAAATATACTCACAAAATAGTCACAAAGAGTATTACAGTGTTGTTTAATTTCGGAGATCTTTGATAGTGATATATGAGACATGGATACAATATAACTTCATCTATGCAGGACAGTCAGGTTTTGAATTATTGTAACATAACACCTTCATCTATTTATCTTAAAATATTAATAAAACATAATTGCTTCATTTTAAACATTTGCATCTTCTGTAGATATTCTGCAAGGTTAACTGTAGCTTTATTGGATTATAAAAAGCATGTTGATAAGTAAGTAATTTAATTTATATATATTTGTTTCATATAAAAATATAAATTATGTTTTGATAATATATTAATTTATTTATATTCAGTCATCTAGTAGAACCTGATAAACTAAGAAAAGAGCCATTAGATATGAATCAATATTTTAGAATATTTTCTACTTGTCGCATCCCACAAAAAGATTGTGATCGTCAAATGCTGTATGGTCTAGAAGAAAATCCACCAAAGCACATTGTGGTTGTCAGAAATAATCAGGTAATTTTTAAATTATGTTAATCATGTAAGTTAAATACTAAAAGAAAAAATTATTTGTAAATTGCAGTTTTATCAGTTAGAAGTTTATGACTCTCAAGGTAACTCACTTCCAGAAAGTTTACTCTTTCAAAATTTAAAACAAATTGTTTCTGATGCTGAAGCACATAAAGATGAACCACCTCTTGGTGTATTAACTACTGAAAAGAGAGAAACTTGGGCTGAAGCTTATGAACTTTTAAAAAGTGGTAAGTATAATAAATTTAAGCCTTTTTATATATATAAACACTGAAAATTATCTGATGTTTTCTTAATCTAAAAGATAATTTAAAAATAAAAGAAATTAAATTTATAAGCATCAGAATAAAATGCTAAAATTAAAAGTTAGCAGTAATTTAATGTTTCTTTAATGATTAAAAAGTAAACTATGAGAATTAATTGATGTACTTGAATTTAAGTTCATTAATTAAACTTATTTATAGTAGGCCTATAATATAGTTTTTTTAGTTTTGTAGTTTTCTCTCTGGCTTCTTTTCATGTTATCCAACACTTAAAGACACCACAAATTGATTCCAGCTTGATCAGTGGTGGATACAGGAGCTTAAGCTCTCTCAATTAGCACACAAAAAAATTAATTTGTTTTTAAAAACTTCAAAACAGTGTTTTTAAAAATATAATGACAAATCTGGTTTATCACACCATCTGCAATACAATCATCATGCACATGTTAATAAAAGATATTTATTAATTATTCATATATGTAAAATTTTTGACTTAGCCCCTTTGGATACTTCTGGATCCACCACTGAGTTGATGTTTCTTAGACAATAATTCCAGAACATAAAAAATTGGAATATTCCTTTCCAGTGGCACATTACCCTACAGGCAGAAAGGACAATTGCCTGAGACCCCAAACCAATCTTTTATAAAATCATATTTCTTCATATTTCACTATAACACTATTTCATTATAACTTCATATTTCACTACTGCATTGTGTAGGATCTTTTGCCTGCTGCATTTCCATGCTGGGCTAGTTTACACCTCCATAGGAGACCTGGGGAATCCTGGGTTCTCCCTTTGGTCACCAGATATATCCAGTTACCTATAGAGAACTGGACTAGCCCAGGATGGAAACACAGTATACAGTACATATTTGACAATTTAATATATCTGTTATAATAAAACAATAGTTTATACATCTTTAATTTATTTCAGATAGTTTAAATAAAAAGAATTTGGAGATTATTCAAAGAGCAATGTTCCTTTTATGTCTTGACAAAAATCCAAAAAAGATGAATATATCTAAGGATGTAGAACACATGCATAATGTAATGCATGGTGGTGGAAGCAAATATAATGGTTGTAATAGATGGTATGATAAATGTTTGCAGGTTTGTTAATTTTTTTTATATTCTATTTATTTTCTTTAAAATTATATATGTCTAGTATTGATGGTCAATGGACGAGTGGTTAAGAGTTGACCTACTGCTCTGAGAATGAATTCAAATAAGCCAATAAAACTCCACAAATTTTTCAAGGGAGTCCATCCATATATGTTAGGCTCCTTTTCTTCACCATCTGGCACCCCACCCCATTGTGGACCTGGCTGAATCCATGATGGGCATGGAGAAAAGACTCTCGTAGTGCTCATAGGGTGGAAATAATCAAAACATATATCTAGTATTAATAAGTGAAACTAGCCAATATAATTAACACACATTTATATTACCATAGTTACTTCAGTAACAATGAGTAAAGTTGGAGTCTTGTTGTTTTTTGATCCAGTTATCATTGTCAGTTATGAACAGGCACCAGAGGAATTAATCAAATTAATGGAGTATCAAATGCTGAATTTAAATATTTTACAATCATTTATCCAATGATAAACTTTATTATTTCAAAATTGCTTAAGATTATAATAATTGGTAATAAAAGCAAAAATAGACATTAATGTTTTGAATAATTTTAATTATAGCGGAATAAGGCTGGAGAAACATTTTTAACCTGATTAACCATCTTTAGGCATTTCTCTAACAATTGGTCCCACCTGAAGATGGCTAATTAACTGGGTTGAAAACGTTAGAATCTATCCAACTTTACTCATTATTAAAATATGTATTAATTAAATTAACTAGTGGCTAGTCTGACCTTATTAGAAAAAGGATAAATAGTTGATAAATCTGTGAATGAAAAGATAAATAAAAATTCAATATATTGATCATTATTATTAATTAATTATTTTTAGTAAAAAGTAATTAATATTTTTTCTTTGCCATACAGTTCATTGTAAGTGAAGATGGTGTCATAGGACATAACATGGAACATAGTCCAGCAGAAGGCTATTCTTTAGTTAAATTGGTTCAACATGTTTCAAATTATGTGTAGGTAATAAATTTTAACAACTTATTCATAGTTAATACATTTAGGTAATAAAAAAATTTAAATAATATGGAAATTATAATTACCTATTAAACTTTAATGAAAATTAAATTTATTTACCAGATTAGGTAACTAATTTTGACGGTAAAATTTCAGATAATTCTGGTAAAGGAAGTTGTAAAACTAGGATAATCTACTTTGCAATTCATTCATTTAACACTTTATGACCTGTTATCTGAAAAAAAAACTAACTAACAAAAAACATTGAACACACATAATAAAATAGACTTTACATTCCTCTATTCTTTTAAAGTTTGCTATGCTGATGATTATACACAACAAAACAGTTTAGCTATGGTGTTTGCCTGCTTTTGTGGGGGACCTGGATCAAATCCTCAGAAATTTTTAGTGGCAATCTGATTTGAATAAGTGTAGCTTCATCTTTCTCATCTTGTATTTAAATAGTCATAAAAAGATTCAACTAGAGTTGCCACGTAAGATATATATTAGTTTGTTGTAAATCGACAAGATGTTTATAATTGTACACTGTTTTAGTAAAACAAAATTGTTATTAAATATTGTCTAACTTTGCAGAAATGGGTGAATATTATCCAAAATCAGATTTCATGACAAGTGTTTTATTAAGTGTATTAGAAATAATGTCATGAAATAATGTCATGAATTTCTAATACACTTAATACCTTATAATGCTGAGAATATTTATTAAATCACAAACGTTTTCAGCCTAATGGAATAGGCCATCATCAGGTACTGAACAAATTTGAAAATTGTGTTAAAATGTTAAGTGTTTTAAAAGGAAGCTGAGTTTGATATTCAATTAATTATTTCTAATTTATAATGCTCATTATACAAAAAATTTATTATTTATTGTACTTTATCATTTCATCAAAATCTTCAAATTTTTTTTAATTTTGAAAAATTTCCTCCAACATTAACTTTAGTTAATATATTTCCTATATCCAAGTATCTATTGAATTGTCCACTTTAATTTTTTAGATATATTTCAAAAAGTTATTTAAACACTATTTGTTCCTATAGATAGTAATATTCATTTACAGTTCTTCTGTGAACCGAGGAGGTAGAGCACTGAGCTTGTTCCCACCTATCAGCTTCTTTGTCAGGGATGGTCTATGTGGTAAACAAGTAGAAGGGTTTAGCGAGGTTGTGACAAGGTGTCAGTCGTACTCAAGGATGACTCATATTTAGATATAAGAATAACATATTTAATAAACTATAAAATGATACACAGCGACTACAAAAATGTATAGATACAAAAGAGGGAAATAATATCAAAATTTCTAAGTCACGACAATGATTAATCTATTCTTTTCAGTAGACCGTCTAAGTTCTGGACCTTTATCTGTCCCAATATTCTCTAAGTTAAACTAACCTTAATCTATCTTATAACTAAGAGAGAGACCTGAGAGAGACCTCTGAGAGAGAGAGAGTTTACAAATATTCTATCAATACTACCTCTGGGTTCTCAATCTTGTTGTATGGTCGTTGGTGAAAACGTTCCTGGATTGGTGGAGTTGACCATTGGCAATTATGGCAAGGTGGTGACAGACAGTATGGTGGTATGGTTCTGATGATGTCCACAGTTGATGTCCGCCTGGAGGACTGTGTCCAAGCTCTTTTTATACCCATCCTGGAGGGGAAACTATCGGGGAAAATTCTGATGCAATCCCGTCTAAGTTCGATTTGCATCCGAGTTTTGTTTATATTAATTGTCAGAATTGAAACATTTCTTTAGATTTATTACCTCTTTCCATCTGTTATGATTACTCATTCTACCTCATAAACTTGATAACAGCTGTCAAACAACTGGATTAATTGCTGGAGGTGACTAAGGTCAAAATTTGTCTTGCAACCTAAGTAATAATTGTTCCTTATATGGTCATAAAATCGGACAAAATAGGAAGTGTGTGGGCTGTGTTTTTCCCTTTCCCATTTGAAAGTTTAGCAGGTCGAAAATTAAAAGGTCAAAAGGTCTAATTATGCCCTCCCAGAAGGGGAAATGGAGGAAGAAGGAAAATAATGTTTGAAAAAAAATTTGAAGCTTTAAAATTCACAAAAGAGTTAAATCCTCACATTTCCAACAATAATAGAACACAGTTTTTGCCTAGAAAGTCTATTATTTTCATGGAACTTTGATGAAAGTTTTTAGTACAGTACATTTGATATGCAATAATTGTTGATATTTTGCTAAATTTGGAGAGAAATGACTAATAAACATGAGTGATATTATGATCAAAAATAGGATGCTAACATTAATAGAACATGTACTGATTAAAATTAATTACAAAGAAAGTAATGATTGGAATCAATGAAATTTGCATAAAAATACAATCAACAAGTGAAAAGAAAGGTTTAGTAAATTGTATAGTACCTTACTATTAAAAATGGGATGTGGGAAGGACCTAACTGTAGAGGAGAATATCAAAATTTATGTGTTTCACAAGGGAGAAAAGTAACTTGGATTTCTAAAAATTTGGGAAGACTTCATTCAACAATCTCAAAGAACCTCAATAATAAGGAGCAATGAACAGGGAAACAAAACAGTGGGTGCAAGAGTTCAAGAACATCTGGAGAACGATGTGTGATTGTTCGAAGTGCACTGCAAGGAAACACATCTGTTCAAAAAATCAAAAATGAATTGAAGCTGAACTGCAGTAAATCAACAGTATACAATGTTTTGAGATCAACAGACAATGGTTCTTTCATTAAAATGAAGACATGCACCAGCTCAAGGAGAAACACAAAACAACTTTGATTACAGTTTGCCAGAAAGAAGTTTGAAAGATAGGAAAGATGGTGGAAAGTAATTTTCTCAAATGAGAAAAGGTGGAATCTCAACAAACCTGATAGTTTTAAGTATTATTGGGCAGACAAAAGACTAGATCAAAAGCAGTACTGAAAGAGAGTAGCTGGTGGTGGTACACTCATGATTTGGGTGGGGATTGGATGGAATAGAAAGACAGATCTAGTATTTATTGAAGGTCGAAACAACTCTCAAGTTTATCTGGAGCTTATCTGGAGGCAGCTCAAAAGTTATGAACAGAAAATTGTTGAACAGGACTTTGAATTCATGTAGGATAATGCAAGCTTCCATGTATCAAAATCAACATTATCCTTTTTTCAGAACAAGAATGTTCGACTTTTAAACCCAATTGAAAATTTTTGGGGTGACTAGGTTTTCCAAATGTATAGCAGTGGAAAGCAATAGAGGAATGTCACTGAATTAAAGGCTGCTCTCATGGAGGCATGGGAAAATATTCCACAAGAATGACTATAATTTTTGATTAATTCAATGTCTAATCATATTTTTCAGATTGTTTCAAAAATGGTAGCAAAATCAGCTACTAATTTTAATTTAAAGATATCATAAGTCAAGATGTTCTTTTAATGTTGAATTATATTATTGCTAACAGTATCTAGCTCTTTTGTTTATTAATCATTTTTCTCCAAACTTGTGCTATAATTGTTGATAACTTACTATAAAATGTACTAAAAAATTTCATCAATGTTACATGAAAATAATAGAGAGTTTCTAGGCAAAAACTGTATGTTGTATTATTGTTGGAAGGACTGTATAATTGGTTTATACAATTTCACTATTATTTCTCAAAATTATTAAACTTACATAATGCATTTTATATTAAGTCAGGTCCTTAAATATATAAAGGCTTGCTGGTTAAATGTATTGTGGTTATAAAACAATGTTTATAAAACAGAAATTTCAAAATTTTCTTTACACTGTGATCCTTAACCAATAGGAAATATATTTATATCAATACAATGCAATAATATTGAAAAATATCTAAAATTTTTCAAACTGAAATATGTTAATGTAAAAAATTTATTAATACAGAAATTAGGTTGTTTAAATTTATCTGTGTTTAAAAGACAACTTGAAAGGGGTTTGGGTTATACATTCGTTTTAAATTGCAATCACAAACTTGCACCTAATTGCAATGGCTGCTTTCCTAGGCACAGAATATATGAAAAGGTTTTTGTTCCAGCAATTTCCAATGAGGTATACACCATGTGTTTTATGCTTCTGAATGTTATACACATTTTATAGAATTTTAATATTAAAATTGTCAAATCTGTGATTATTAAGATTTGTATTTTATGTTCCTGTCTACATTAATATTCATAATAAATTTAACAGAAATTTATATTACTTAACTTTTTTTTTTATTAGAAAGAATACATCTGTTGAATGGTTTGATGTCCAAAATACAACAGCTCCAACAAAATTAAATTTTAATTTTTCAAAAGAAATATTGAAGGCAATAGATGTGGCAAAGGAAAACATAAACAAGTAAATGATTTTTTAATATTATTCTATACAAAAAATTCTATGGAAAAAAATACAATTGTCACAGAACTGGCTTCAAGGATAGATAATGTGTATATTTGTACAAAACTCTATACTTAACCAAGCACAGAGTGGTTTTGTGCTTTGTTAGTACTTGGCCCACAACACCTTAAAAAGTCTCCATTTATATTTTACACAGTATAAAAGATGAAGCCTGTTCTAATTATTAAAATAAATTATTTTATAATGTAAAAATTAATGTATTAAATCCTTTCTTTTATAGATTAAGTGACGATATTGATATAGATTATCTCATTTTTAAAAATTATGGCAAGGATTACCTCAAGTCAAATAATTTCAGTCCAGATAGCTTTATACAGATGGCATTTCAATTAGCTTACTATAGGTAAGAATAACCAGTTTATTTTTTAATTTTTAATATTCTGATTAAAGCCATCGCCTATTATTATATGTTTAAAACAAAAACAGATACAATTGAAAATGACAAGAATAAAACTTATTATTAATTACAAAGGAAGAAGGATTTAAAAAAATGGTGAATGTTATAAATTGTTCTTATAGAAATGTTAAATTAAATAACTATAGATATAATTGAAATCAATGGTTTTACTATAAAAGTTTTTTTAATTAGAAATTGTACTATAATTTTTATTTTTTATCATCATATTCTAAATCTTCATTAATCAGAAATTTGTAGATATAAATTATAATTTTAAGTTCAAGAAATTCTTTTGATATTATTTTCAAGAAAATATCTGAATTAATTTATCTATCAGTTCTCTATGAATATAATGATNGACTTTTAAATATGAAATGCAAATAATCAATTTATGTAATGTGTAAGTATAATTTTAAATTAATATAAAAAGGTATTTAAGGCTATAAAACTCTCTAATTTGGTCAATGTGACAATTGTTTCAAGAAAAATAAATCTTGGAGGAGAATGACATTTATACAATGAACCTATGCTTGTATTACAGATGTTTTCAACTCATTTCAACAAAACTTTTTTTCATGTTTATAAAAATCAAAACCTACATACATTTAAAATACATGGTAGATTCAAAAATAATAAAAGTTGACAAGCACTATTATATTAAAAATTTGGTTTAAGTATTTACAGAAGACTACTTCCAAAATAAGCTCCCTTTGCAGCTACATACTTCTGCCAGCATCTGTAATGTTAAAGACATCACAAAAAATACCTAACAGCAGCTTAAACATATAAGTCAAAGTCAGCAAATGTTTGACCAAAAAAAGGCATAGATGCTTTTTTCAATCTCCTTACTCTGTTGACTTTGTTCCTATAGATTTTTATCTGCTCCCTAAAACAAGAGAGAAATTAAAAGGATGCAGATTCCAGTAAGCAGCAAAGTGGAAGCCATACTGACAGAAGCTTACTTAGAAATTCATATATAAGACTACTTTCAATGTGTTAATATACCAAACTTTGGCATAGGCTATATATTGTGTTATATAAACTGTGCCAAAGTTTGGTTTAAAGTATCTCATTATAATGTACTGTACATGTTTATTCACTTTCTTCAATATTCTAATTACATAATTATCATTATATGATTCTCCCCATATCTATAGCATTCAGTTGAATAATACAAAACATAAGAAAAATTAATTAACAAAACTCTAATTTATAATAGAAAACATTTATAATTGTTCTCTAACATTAATCATAAGTCATTATTAAATTAAAATAAATATTCAATATTATATAGGTTACATGGATTGCGTGGTGTATTATATGAAGTTGCAACATTACATAGATTTTTACATGGTAGAATGGAAATTGTTCATTCCACATCAGCTGAAGCTGTTGAATTCTGTAAAACTATGTTAGATTATAATGCAAATTTACGAGAAAAAGCTGTTGCTCTGAGAATTGCTGTTGCAGCTCACAAAAATTTAGTTCATGAGGTAAGAAATTGCTTTATATAAAGTGTGAATGTCTTGAATACCATTGTTGTATAATTACACTTACATGTTTTTAATTTAGATGACATTATTATGTCATTGCAAATGCATTCATTGAATTTATTTTCAAAATTTGCAGAAAATTATATTTTTACACAAACTGAATTTTAATTTTTAAACTTTCTTATACTCTTGGGTTGTAGTTAATTGTAACTAAGTGAATAATATAAGAATCTACCTACAACAATGTAAAAAATCATAAATTGGTAATTATACAAAGTGGTGTATCAAATATGTGTTCAACTTCCTATAAATGTAACAAAAAAATCACATTTTAATTAAGTAATAATTTCCTGTTCCTACAGTACTGTAATTAAAATATATTTCATAGAATTACTATACTTTTGTGCGTGCAACCTGCATATTATCTGTATTGGAAAGGAGATGCAGGTTATATGTAATCAAGAACTTTTATATATGTAGCAATGGCTGCTCCTATAGGCATGGGGTATATGGTCAAATAGATTACAGAAAGATTTTACTTTCATTCTAGCAATTTTCTGCAGAGTATATTTTTGTGCATGAAATTTACAATGATATATAAAATGTAAAATTGCTTTTATGCCAAATTTATACGAGGTACTGGTGCATGCATGCATGCATGATTGCGTGAAAATATGGTATGTAAATTCAATTTAATACAATGACATGCTAACTTTTTATTAATTAAAAGCTAGCATACATACTGTTATTTATTTCATTTTATACTCAATAATTTCTTGAATATAGGCTCACAGAGGTGAAGGCTTAGATGCTCATTTACTTGGTTTAAGAAGAGCAGCAAAAGTAATTGGAATCGAAGAACCAAAACTATTTAAAGATTATGGATTTCGAATGTGTTATTACTACCGTTTAGTTACCAGCCAGGTAATTTCAAAATTATTAAAATATATAAAATTATTTTTTATTCATAACTGTATTAATATCGATTTGCAATTTTTTAGCTTCCAATGGAAAATATTGAGTTAATAGGCAGTTTTGGACCATTATATGTTGATGGATATGGTTTGCCCTATGGTGTTTATCCAGATAAGATAAACTTTTTTGCATTTTCTTTGTTCCACAGACCAGAAACAACATCGTCTAATCTTATTCAAGCCATCAATTGCTCTTTAGAAGAAATGCAAGAAGTAGTTGATAAATCAGGAAAATTAGATTTAAAATATGACTTAAATGTAGCTTATTAATCATTAAAAATTAAGTTAATAAATTTTTAAATATTTACTAAAGATTAATATTAAAAAAAATTAATATCTAAGTTTTATTTTGTACAAAAAATATTTTAATTATTTCCTTTGAACAACACATGTTAAATATTTTATTATTAAATTATTAATAAAAATACTTTCTGAATCAAACATTTATAATGTATTCAATTTTTAAAATTTTTAGAAAAAAAAAATCACTTCACAGGAATTGTACAATATATTAATGCATGGCAAAATGAACATTATCTCTGATCAAAAAGTATGGTTCAATAAAATGCAAGATTTGAATTTATTCATCAAAATTTATTTTGTCCCCTTCAAAGCAACCCCTCCCACTGCAATGCACTTATGCTAATGTTTCTTCCAATCTTTAAAACATGCTTTAAAGTTGTTTTCATGAAACCCCTTCAGGACTTGCAGTGAATTTTGTTTTATAGCATCAGTCAACTCAAAACAGTGACCACAAAGTGAAAATTTTAGTCAAGGAAATAGAAGAATATCACACGGTGCCACATTGGGTGAATAAGTAACTTGTGGAACCACTGTATTTGTTGAATTTTTGGCCATAAGTTCACAAACAACAAGAGCAGTTTGAGCAGATGCATTATCATGGTGCAAAATCTATTACCTTTCTTGCCAAAATCAGGGCATTTTCTAAAAATTGCTTCATGAAAACAACACAAAATACTCAAATAATATTTCTGTTAATTGTTTGGCCAGTCAGAAGGAATTTGTGATGCACAAGACTGCAACAATTGAAGAAAACAGTCAACATGACCTTGATTTTTGACCAACATTGATGTCTTTTTGGACTTGCTTCACTTTTCAAGCACTATTTACTTGATTGTTGATGCAGGTTTGGTGTCAAAAAGTTAGATCCATGTTCATCCCCTGTAATGGTGCATTCCAAGAACAATTTGCTTTGAGAAAGTATTTTCTTGGCCACTCGAACATGTTATTTTTGGAAAAAATTTAATGTTTTTGGGACAACTCAGGAAGTGAGGTTCCACAAGCCCAAACAATCTTTTAAAATTGCTTGACAATGTTCAATAATAGAACATATTCAATTGTGAGACAAGCAGCGGGCCACGGGTTAATCCCACAATGACCACTTACTCTGCACAGGCTCGTGAAGCCCGATCTCAGCATCGTCGGATGGCGGTAGGAGGGCAAATCGAGTGGGGAGTGCGTTGGTAAGCTGGCAGGTGCCGTTAGACAGGAGACAGGTCAACAGAATAACAAGCATTTATTAATTAACAAAACTAAGTTACAAAACTACTAAAGCTAAATGTGATTATCTTAAAGTATGTACAGAAATTGGCAATTATGTTCTTAGCTAGGTCGCTGCCCTAGTTTCTAGTTCAAAGAGAGAGAGAGCGCTTTTATAAAATCTACCCCTAAATACCTCTAGGTGGAAGGGAGAGTTGGCGAACGTCGTCTGTATGGAAGGGTATGGTGTCTTCACCGATGGGATTACAGTCCACAAGTATCTTCCGTGGGCGGACGCCCCGAGCTTCCGGTGATCTCCCCTTTTATATCTTTTTGTGCGAGAGCCGACACGTCATCGCCTCCTGTTGACGATGACGGTGCACTCTTCACACTTAACTGTAAACTTCCTCAGTTCATTGTTACAAACTCGGTGAAATTCGATATAGTTTAAATTCCTCGGGTTTTTTCCGAAGTTAATTAACCAAAAATTTAGATGTTTAAGCGGCCCGTACAAATCCGAAAAAATCTGCGCCTCACATCATTCACTGCTGTCTTTAAAATTATACTTGTGAGTATAATTTTAACATTGAAATACACTCTCTCTCTCTTGACATGAGCTTTCCCGACAATAACAAAAAATTCCCGACCATAACAATTCAACTAAAACATAATTCAAGAAAGTTTAGCTATCAACGCGTTACATGTGCCGTTAGCATTCACAACACGATTTACAACTTGATAAATTGTCCTTAAGGAGGTTGTTGATCTACTGTCACAGTTCTGTTGGTGACTCAGTTGTCGATACTGATTATTAGTTGACTTGGAGAAAGTTTCAAAGTTCACTGTTGATGTTCTCGACGTGCAGTCATTGTTGATCTTGAAGTGACGTCAGTCCAGGTGGTGGAGCTGTTCCGTTGAAGCTTCCTCGTTGAATCCACTGAGACTTGCATGGTTGAAAAGTTCACAAAGTTCCCTATAAACTAAATTCCAGGTTGCAGAATCGAATGATGCAAAAATCTGTGGAACTGACTGCTCTCTCTCTCTCAAACATTGTTTTTTTAAGCCTAGTTAAAACGCGCAGGATTTTTAATGCTGCTGCTCCCTAAATATTTGATTTGCGGTGAGACTTTTTCCTCTCTAAGTGTCCTACTCTAATTCTAGGAAGTGTTGTGGATGGATGAATCGGTAGAGGTATGCGACTTGGTCGTGATTGAGGGGAGATATCAGTAATTGCTTCTGGGTTTATCGATGTATCTTCTATGGACATGCTTGGTCCTCCTATCAAGGAAATGATTAACAAGGTTCGAATCCATCCTATAAGTATGTTCAAGTGGGCTCGAATCGTAGAGTTCTCATGCTATTCACTTTGATTTACTTCTTCTAGTGTGTCTACATCTGGACTGTCTTGAAACTCCAATGTGGAAGGTTCTGGATACGGTTCAGTTTCCCCTGTTTCCACGTTGACTCTTCTAATTTCTATCTTGACATCCTTCCTGGGTCAGGTCTTCGGTCTCTCCCCAGAATTCCCGACCTGATAATTCGGACCCATGACGATGGATCAACTTCGGTGTCGACCTCGGAGAGTGAGAGTCGCTTTTCCTGTTGATTTTGTCTTTTCGGTTTCCCTCGAGGTTTACAACTTGAACAAAAATGAACAATTTTTCCATTCGGCAACATTATTTTCTCATTTGCATCATCAAGAATGAAGCCTTCTTTCTTTTATCATATCTCGTCCAATGATCCCTTCACAAGGAGCAGTGATTTCTGATCGGACGATTTTGCATGATCTGGAGAACTTGTGTCCTCTAAACTTAAAAATAGGGACAGTCATACCTATGGTTGAGATGGAATCTCCATTCGGACCTTCTATCTTCCTTCGTTGTCCAAATTTTACTGGGGCCTTCCCTTTTAATTTATTGGCAACCTCGTTTGACAAACCTGTGTCCTTAAATTTGGGATCTATTCGAAATTTGACTGGAACATTATTGACATACCTCAGGATGATGGGTTTCTTCTTCTTTTGAGTCCTAGTGGTTCTAATGATGCCTTGCCATTTCTCCTCTTCCTCGGAGGGGACATCTAAGTCGTCGGTAGTTATGGGCTTCCTCTGTGCGGTTAGCCTATTTCGTCTTAGACGAGGGTAGGAAATCGGACAATAGTCGTTTCTTCTATCCAGCTGGTCTTTCCTAGGTGAGGACGACTTGCTTGATAATTCAGCTACTCAGGATCGAAGTTCCTCGATAGCGGTGGTTATTGTTTCCCAATCCTCTACTGACCTTCCTGTATCCAGTTTGACTTCTTTAATGGGTCTGATTTTGAAACTGGGCTGTGCCGTCAAAGTTTCTATACTTTCTTCACTAATTGCTGCTGTAAGTGCGTCATCAAATGTCGTCGGCTCACATGACATGACTTACTGTCGGATGCGCATGGTGATCCCATTTAAAAATTGAGCCTTCAATCTTTTGTCTAATTCTTTATTCTGGATGCGCTTAATCATTGCAGTCTCCGCTGCATCTGCTCCCTCTTGCTTTATCTCAATTTCGGTAGCAAGGGCTTGTAATCGCGCTGTGTATGTCTGTACATCTTCCTCTGGCTTTTGTACACATGCGTAAAATTTATGAACTCGAAGGTGAAAAGGAACTTTTTCAAATCGCTCTAGCATAATCTGCTTAAATTCCTCAAAATCCTCAATGTCTCTGATTCTTCTATCTTTTCTGACGAATTCCCGGGCTATTCCCGTAAGTCTAAGCTTTGCTACTGACATTTGCGTTTTTGTCCATCCTGACAATTTTGCTACATCTACCAATGAGTCAAAAAACTCGCTAATGCGGGGACCTTCTGCTTGTCCCGAGAACGCAGGCAGTAAAGGAACTAAAACTACCTAGTCCTCCCAAAGTTACGTGAGGATTTTCGCCTTCCATTTCTATGCGACTATATCCTAGTCCTTCTATACTCCTAGGTCTAAAATTTTGAAAACCTGTTTATGGAGGACAAAACTTGTCTGAGCCGAACCTGCCTAAAACAGACTAACCTGTCAAAAGCCTGGAAGTCGGCTTCACCTCACTCCTGACACCAGTGTGAGACAAGCAGCGGGCCACGGGTTAATCCCATAATGACCACTTACTCTGCACAGGCTCATGAAGCCCAATCTTGGCGTCGTCGGATGGCGGTAGGAGGGCAAATCGAGTGGGGAGTGCATTGGTAAGCTGGCAGGTGCCGTTAGACAGGAGACAAGTCAACAGAATAACAAGCATTTATTAATTAACAAAACTAAGTTACAAAACTACTAAAGCTAAATGCGATTATCTTAAAGTATGTACAGAAATTGGCGATTATGTTCTTAGCTAGGTCGCTGCCCTAGTTTCTAGTTCAGAGAGAGAGCGCTTTTATAAAATCTACCCCTAAATACCTCTAGGTGGAAGGGAGAGTTGGCGAACGTCGTCTGTATGGAAGGGTATGGTGTCTTCACCGATGGGATTACAGTCCACAAGTACCTTCCGTGGGCGGACGCCCCGAACTTCCGGTGATCTCCCCTTTTATATCTTTTTGTGCGAGAGCCGACACGTCATTGCCTCCTGTTGACGATGACGGTGCACTCTTCACACTTAACTGTAAACTTCCTCAGTTGATTGTTACAAACTCGGTGAAATTCGATATAGTTTAAATTCCTCGGATTTTTTCCGAAGTTAATTAACCGAAAATTTAGATGTTTAAGCGGCCCGTACAAATCCAAAAAAATCCACGCCTCACACAATAATGCCCTTAATTATTAGAGATTTGGTGCTCAATGATCATAATCTAACTTGAGCAGTGTGTTGTTCATCAGTTGAAGTGGATGGTCTGTCAGAGTGTGGTTCATGTTTGATGCATTCCCTGCCTTCCTTAAACATCTTGAACCACTCAAAAACTCTTGTTTTTGATAGACTATTGTTAACAGAGGCTTTTTGTAACATTTACAACATTTTTGTAGCAGTAATTCCATTGCAAAAACAAAATTTTATGCATGTTCTTTGCTCAATTACACTAGATATTTTGAAAAATTGCCAGCACAAAAATTCTTTACACACAATAAAAGCATTTATTTGCAAACAAAAACAGATGATGATAATGTTTGGATTGCTATTAGATCTTAATGAAAGGCGTATCAAACAACAAATGCTATATTTGTTGTTTGGTACATAGTGTTTTGCACAATAGCATTTGTTGCACCCTTTTGTATGTGCAGTTTAAATGAACCATTCCCAATACTTTATGATTACTGTAGTATTTTTTTTATAATGCTCATATCACTAAAATAAACAATTATAATAAATTACTGTATTATTACTATTATAATACAGAATAATACTAAATTTTTTCTCTTAACTGTATCAATAAAAATAGCATCAGATTTCTTTGCTATATTAACTCAAGCTACTATTTGATTTATACATAATTTGCAACATTGGTCCTGTTTCTTTTTTTTTTTTGATAATGTGAAAAGGCCTCAGCCTACTGATTTAGGGTTCCTAGGTTCAAGCTGATTCAGGAACCTCATAAAATGGGCTGGACTATTCCTGAAAATTTCCTATCTAACAAAGTTATTTTAAATATGACATAATCAGTTTAGATAATGAATATAATGTATTATTAATTTAATTGTCTACATAATAATGTTCTTACATATTTTTTTCTATATTTTACTGTGAAATAATTTTAAATTGACAGAAAGAGTATAATTATGGAATTAACTGCTCTTTGAGAATAATCTCTATCTATTCAGGAAGTTTGTAAAAATTAATAAAAATTGATCCTCTTTAGTTACAGTATAAAGAAGAAAATGGTCATAACAAATTTTTTAAAATTAATTTTATGTAGTTTTGAAATTAAAGTTTATTTCAATCTCTTATTCTCATTTCTTATGAAAAAAAAGAAAAGAAAAAAACAGCAGACAACTTTCAGGAACAATATTTGAGTCATCCATATTAAATAAACTTGCATATGAATGTAAATATAAAAAATTTCTCTTTATGGTAATTATTTGTAAATATAAATTTTATTAAATAACATACTTTTATGATACACACAAAAACAATTGAAAATGTTAAATTATAAATTTTATCTTTACAATTTCTACAAGATTTTTATTGATTAAATAAATTAATGCTAAAACAAAAACTATTTTTGATTATTTACAAAATTTATTAACAAAATGTGAAGTTTTTAAGCTTAACATTATACATATAATTTCTAATTCTTTAGAACAAATGATCAAACTAGTTTTTAATCATTACAGACTGAAACAGTACTGTACATTTAAGAAAGAAATAAATAAATATTATGCCATTTATTAATGGTGATTAAAAAAAACCAAAAAGTATTTTATTCTAGCAAATTGTTATTTATAATTATTATTAATTTTCTAATCGACAACTGCTCCATTTTGTTTTTGTACTTATCAAATATTGTATTATGCTATTAAGCCCATGCAAATGCAAACTCTGCTAACTTAAAGTAGTGAAAGTTTAAGTAATAAAACCTTTTCCTGACCATAAACTATAAACATTTTTACATTAACCCAAGACATAATTAAATAGCTTATAGATGAAATAATTCTGTATTATTTTATATATTATTTTCTAAAAATATATTATGAAATTATAAAATATCATTTAGTACTAGATAAATAAATTTTAAGAGCATTTCATAAGATTTTTTTGTTGTTGGCTTTCCCATTAAGAAATTATTTAACAGATTTTCTTTTTAATTAACATAAATTTTTGTTTTTGAATAATTATCATCTTACCTGTAAATTAAAATTTTCAAAAGGGAAGTGCAAAAGTATATTAATATCAAATTCGGTGGCATTTTTCACTCGTAAGTTTTCATAATAACTTCCAGTATAGTATAAGTCTTTATACAGTATAGTAAAAAGAGGTGAATATTTTTTCATTTCTGTAATAAGCCAATTTAAAGTATTTCTCAATACTTCAACATTTTCTTCTTGACCATTTAGTTTTACTTCATCTCGTAAAATTTCATTTACGTAAAATAAAAATGACTTTTTCTTCATTCCATAATTTCTCTGCTTTCTTTGCTGTTTTAAACTTGACCTAATTCTGTAAATATATAAAACATACATTATTATTTTTAAAAAGATATTCTACTACATTTTAATTTTTTTAAATGACTTAATTTTCAAACAAAGTTTTTTTTGCTTACAAATGTAAAGTAGGACAATTAAGCTTTCATGTAGGATGTAGAACGTCTATCATAATTGTACATCCAATTGGATTATTTGAAATAAGCTCTCTGATGTGTGATGAAAGAAGTTGGGTGGTCTTGTGGATAGAGTGTGAGAAATCCNTATATGTTTGGAATAACAGTTGAGGTTAAAGAAGTGATGAAATAAGACATTAGAATTGTTTTTGAACCATATCACAAAGAAATATGATGATCTGATAAAAAAAAAAAAAAAAAAAGGCAATATAAAGAAGTTATAATGATGGTAAGAATAAGAATTTTTTCTTATCTTCCCCATCTGTTCTTTACAGAGTTTGATATCTCAAATCCTCAATCTCAGCAAAAGAAAAAAATTTTTTGCAAGTTTTTGAAATACATATTGCTGAATAAGTATCATTGGATGAAAAAAAACGTTAACAAATTTTTTTTAAATGGAATATGAAATAAACACTGTTTAAAATATAATATGCAGAAGTTGTTTGTTATAAAAATAACTAAGAATTTTAAAAAGTTTGAGAATTTATACAACTAAATTGAAATCTGAATTTTTTCATAAGCTTTAATGAAAGTTATATTTAAGAAATGTTCAATTTATTTAAAACTAACATCAAAAAACTTGAAAAGACCTATATATAAGACTTTTCCAAATTTTTAAATATTAGTTTTAATGATGGAGTAGCTTATAAACTACTCAAAATTATTAGTTTTCTTGTGTTTATGTTTCAGCAATGTTTTTTTAAAAAAAAAAGCTTGTAAAAATTATTTTAAAATTCATATGAGGAAACATTAAGATATCCTTAGGTTTTTGTTTTGTATAACTGTAAATACATTCATTAAATAATTGCAATACAATTGAAATATTAAATTATCATGTACCATGATTGTTGTGTGTGTAGACCACTGCCAGGTGGCAGTCCAGATCAACTTTCCCCTTAACCTAGTCAGACAACTCCATGCCCTTTCCTTTTTGTCGTTTATGTCTCACTCTTGATCACATACTGACTATAGCTGTGTACAAAACATGCTCTCATAATATACAGTGTACAATATATATAGTTAATAAAATTTGGAATATGTAAATATCAATTCAGGTGATCATTCATTCTACAAATTTAATAGTGATTAAATTTTTATTATGTAAAATATTATAATACTTTTCAAAATTTTTCCAGTAAAATATATATAATTTTTTAAAAAATTTATTTCAATATCACATACTTTCTCAGGAATATCTTCCAGAAAACTACAGCTTGCATCACTTGGCCAATTTGGAAACTCTATTACAGGAACTAAATCAACATCAATAATTACTTTTTCGCAATGTATCTGAATTGTCATTGCAGGTCCATTTCTGCGAGTAATTATCTATATAAATAAAAATAAAATCAAATACATACATCACACATATTGGTTGATTTTCAAAGTTAATGAAATAAATTTACAACTTTTAAATGTATATTCACACTTAAAATATTTTAAAATCAACTACATGTAAAAGTCTGCAATCAAATATAAATATGTACTTCTATATATAGTGGGTTAAAATATTTTAAACTTGAATATTGACTGAATTTGACAAATTGTTTGTACAAGTACTTACATGCAACACTTATTATATTTTATATGACAAACAAAAATTAATAAATATAACTGTTTTATGAATCTATTGCTAGTTTTGATAAGAGCATATTCACTCTTGCAACACATAGTATGGTATACCTTCAGTCTTATTAAAATTTATTAAAAACACAATAAAATTTATTTACAATTTTACAATCTTTTAAATTATTACAAAAAAATAAATTATAGCATCCCTGTTCAGAGTTTTTAATTATGTATAACTGATCAAATTTATATTATAATATCCAATTTAGTATTTAAAAAAACAAATTACCATATTTACTTGCATATAAGACAAAGTTTTTATTCATTTTTCACTGCTTCAAAAACCTAGGTTGTCCTATACGTGCGAGCGAAGGATACTTTGAGTTTTTGCAATAATTTTTGTGAGCCACGCTGCCATTATAGCAGGATGCTATCAAAGTCAAGGTGAATGTTGCTTTCAAAGAGATGGTCTGAAAATAGCTTGTCACTTAGCAATGATTATAAATGCAGTTATTTCACATTTGTTAAATTGGTATTTTTTATGAATATTTGCGCATTCTGAAACATTAAAAATTAACATTTTTCTGTCCTGCACATTATAATCTTTAGTTTTGCTATGTGGATATCAGGAGGAAAAGCATTCCTCAAGAGCTGTTAGCAAAGTCATTCAGGAAATACTGCATTTCAAATTTACTTGACAGATCAGAGGATGCTGCTTTGTGGAATGAGAGTGAAAAAGGAGAGTTGTAATGAAGCTTCGGAGGTGGTCCGATCAGACTAAAGGTGATAGCATCAAGAAAACATGGTTGTTTGCCTTAATATGTGCATTTGATATTATTTTATTTGTGATTAAATGAAATAAAATTAGAATTGTATTAATAAATCTAATTTTCTTTATTTTGATCTTTAAAGTCACACCTCGTCCTACATGTGAGATCATCTTATATGCAAGTAAATATGGTATATCTAACTTTTTTATTTCTTTCTACTTCTTGCTTTAAAATATTAATAAAATAAAAAAGAGTAAACTTGTATCTAATTTACAGATATCTGTACAGAAAAGAGCAATTTCATATCTAAATTCAAGCCTTTTTCTCCCACGTCATGTAAAAAAAATGCCTAACAAACAAAAGTTCTAAAAAAACAACGAATATTTCAGATTTTCAACATCCAGTTACTATTTCAGATTCTCATTTTCATCTTCAGGCATCTCATTCAACAACAAAGAATATTAAAAAGGAGAAGAAAAAGAAAAAAAGACATATATATAAAAAGATTCCTAACTTTGATGTTCTAAATTGAAATGTTAGCTCATGTGATGATGTGTCTTCTATGAATTTTATACTTTAAAAATTATGTAATGACCAGAAGCCATATTCTGGTCATCATCTCTCATCTTCAAGAGACAGTGACCAGAATATGGCTATGTTACAAGCCAGTTGCTGATTCGCTAATCATTTGTTTATGTTTCAAGAGATCATTGTATCTCTCCAAATGCAATCCCAAATGACTTTTTCTCTCAAAGATTCATATCCAGAGACAAGTGTATAGTCATCTTTCGACTGATATTTTGTCTGTAGCCTCAATTTCATTAAATCTAATATGAACACCTAGATGCCACTTGCCTAATACAATCATATTAGGCAACAACCCTATCTCAGGAAAGAATATTTTGAAATAGAGATCATGCTTATGATTTTTTGAGCAACTACTCGGGAATGCCACTGACGCAATCTTTTTTTTTTTTTTTTTTTAATTATTCTATATCAATAATTGAACCATTGAATATGCTATTAATCTTATCTGTTACTTCTACCCATCTGTCTTTCTACGTACTTTACAAAATATTACTCCTTAATTTCTTAACTAAGTACACATGCTTTTCTAATTAACTTAACAAACAGAAATTTTAATAACCTAAGGAGGATGTTACTCAAGATATTTTGACTTTACAATCTGTAAAAACGTTATAAAATAAAAACATATCTCTGTCAAAATTACATGCTTTATTTGAACTGTGTGCTTTCCTCACCATGTAATCTATAATTTCATACTCTGCATTTTCAAAAAATTTTACTATTTTATTGGTTAAAATTCTGTACTGTGTTGTGCGAACATGTATAATCAACCAAATAGAATTGTGACATCAACAACAAAGACAAAATTGTTACTAATGACCAGAATAGCCTGTCTCTGAGAGACGAATTTCATCTCTCATTTTGATGTCATTCATCTCTGAAAGAAGAGACGAGAGATAAATGACCAGAATATGATCCCAGGTTTTGTGTGATCATGTATTTTCTAACTTCTGGAATCAATGGTTTATGTTGTGATTCAATGTTTCTAATAGTACTTTTCATATGCTATAATCATTGTTAGCCCTGAGTTGAGAATTCTTATTTGGTTATCATAAAATGAATTCCAGGTCACAGAAAACTTTGTTGTTACATCATTTTCAAAATTTAAAATCTATAGGAGAGATGTCATTGCATGGGTTAACATTCCAACTTAGAATATTGAAGCTAGGAATCTTTGACAGACCTGAGGCAGGTTTATCAAGACAGCTAAAAAATTTGTTGAGAAGAAAAAACATTACTGTAAAAGGGCTCAAAAAGGTGATTTTTTAATGTGATTTAAACTCTCTTCCAGCTTTAATTATATTAAAATACAATTTTATATTATTTTATTAATGAAAAAAATTCTTACTTTTTTAACTCCTTCAATATTATATTCAGTTTTTTCAGTTATATTGCAAATTATTTTTTGCAACCAACTTTTAATTTTTTCAGGTAATAAATAATGTCCGTGAAACATAGCATAGACTTCACTACATACATTTTTAGTTAATGTAAGTTCATCTAATTTAACACCATCAAAACGACATCTAGCAAACCCCTTAGGCTCTGTATCAGGTTCAATCTGAAAATAAATTGAACAGTTTTGACAGTATTAATTATAATATTTTTTTTTTGTATCACCAACTGTTTTTATATAATATAAAACGTTTGTAGTATTTTTAGAATTAAAAGTTTTTTCAAATTAAATAACGAAAAAGTTCAAGCAAATCAAGCAATATATTTGCTTGATATACAGTATAACTAAATAGCAAGTTCAATACCATTCTATGCTGTTCATTTTCATCTTTCTAATTTTAATTATATTAAAATTTTAAGTATGATATCTCTAGAAATATTACTACATCAATATTTAGTGAGAAAGTTAATTAACACTTGACAAAAAATTACATTTGTTAAGTCAATATATATAAATGAAAATGTTTGTTTGCTTTGCACTCCTAAGTCATTCAAACTAATTGCTATGAAACTTGGCAGTTACATTAACATACTTCTAACTTAGATAATATCATACATACCACCCCAAACTAGTAATTGGATTTGTATATATCAATTATTTTATGTCTACATTTGATTTATTACTTTTAATGTAGCTCAGTCTATTGGCAAAAAACTTTAAAAAATAATTCTTTATAAACTAAAAAATAATTTAAAATAAACTAAATATAATTCATACAAAAAAAATATATTCTATTCACTTAATTACTATGAAAAAGATATAGTGTTAAGTAGATATGCTATATCATTACTGCAATGGATAGCAAAAATTACTCAGGTGTATCCAGTCAAAACTATATAAGTATTTAATTTTGCATATCTAACACCTTGGTTTTTTCATTTCTGAATGGTTCTTTCTTAATTACAGTAAGTATCTACCAATGGCAGAGTAAATAAACCACTGAGCACTGGTAGTTCATGGGTTCGCACAATGCCAACAAGCTGACTACATGAAGTTTTCTGACTTTTCTTCATGTTTGTAACCATTTAAATAAATGCCAGTTTCCCATAGAAGTCGTTCCGGGAGGTTTCCCTTAGCAGATTACTCATGTATCACATTGTTGTAATCATACAAATTTTAATAAATTTTTCTATAAAAATTGCTATTTACAATAACATACTTCTCACGTAGTTTATAGGCCTTGTGATAATGTTCTTAAAAAATGTTTTATCATTTACAGTTTTAAAATTTACAATTAATAACACTAGGTGTAACAATCACTGTGAGGGTACTTTATAAACCTTTATTAACAAAATTTTATGTTTAAGTTTTATTGTTGTTCTGGTTTTCTAGTAATATTTTTTTGTGAACAAATGAATAATACTACTCGTTTTCTGAACTTCTATTAAGAAATCAAAGTCTTGTGTGATGTTTCTTACCTCATCATTCATGGTTAATCACTTAGGCTCATCTTTCAACACAATTTACTGTATGTAGTACAAAAATATGTTTTCAATAAATTGAAATGCTTTCAGATAATATGTAACTACAGCAACAAATGACATTATTATTGAGTTTAATATTTTATTAATTTTGGAAATTTAGATCTGAAGAAAAATTACAATGTATTCATGTTTTATTGATAACATGTGTCAAATATTATTGGATTGTATCCACTACAATGATGATGTCTTGCCAGCAAGTTGACTGCAATATCACTTTTGATGAATTGCAGGTAACATAGCCTATTATTTATAGAAAAATATTGTAATTTCCACATATTATTATCTCCTTATTTCCATGAAAATTTTTAAAAAACTATAATTACAGTTGATAGCATTAAGCTCTATATATAACATGTGGTCATCCTTTGTTAACTGAATAAGAGACATGATGAAGGGATATGTTCTTTGAACAAGTTTGGTTTTGTTTATATACAATAATGCAACACATAGGCAATCTGCTTAACGGGAATGCATCCTGAGAGGTCTTTTATGGAAAACTGGCCCCTATTTATGTGTTACAAATGTGAAGAAAACTCCATGTGACAATCCTGTCGACAAGGTACAAACCCATGACCATCTACCAGTGTTCGGTGGTTTTATCCATTTAGCCACTGGTGGGCATTCTTTGTATAGATAGTCATAGGTAAAAGTGGCTAAGTTTAATGCATTTTGTCAAGCCTGTTATATGTAATACCAAGTATTTTTTTCTCAACTGCAAAATGTTTTCGGTCTTATATTATTCCATTTAAATCCCAAACAAAATTACTACTTGGAAAGTAATTCAGTAATTAAATTCAGTTGCATGGTTATAACATTTCACTTCTTTCTGGTACAATTAGTTATAGAATTCACAAGAAAAATATCATGTTAACAATGAACTAATGTTTTAATAAGTTTGTAAATTTACTGCTGCTTTTTTTATTGAATATGTCTATAGGAGATCAGATAAACTAATGTAATGACTTTGATAATGAAACTTTTAATATTATCAAATTTTGAAAACTCCTTTAATATTAAATTTATTTAATATGATCATGAAATTAAGTGTTGTTAGGACCTATTTAAAAGAAGCTCTATCTCTAGCTATAGATTAGTTTAGTAATTTATAAAGTTTCAAAGCAATTCAATCACTACTAAAATTGCTAAATTTACTATAAATAAACCTATTCAGTCTCTAAAGTTTATTTTGTTTATTCTTATTGATTGTTAACAGCCCTATGCTAAAAATACACTAATAGTATTATGCATAATCTGCTGATGTTCTATGGTATTGTATATGAATTGTATAATGTATAATGAATTCTTCAAAATATGAAATATTTATATATCAGGTCAGTCCATAAGTTCTTGCATATTTTATGACCTTGAGAAAAATCTTGTTTTGCTGTTAAAAATGCCAGTCTAATGTGATACTTTTTAAACTAAAGTGTTAAATTGGATCTCATTCATATAATACTGTTCAGAATTGGGAACATTTCAGTTGTTTATTTTCGTTAAAATGGAAGTAACAGACGAATATAAGAGACATGTTTTATACTTTTTATTTTTAAGTGATGAAAATGCTACAAATGCAGCAAAAAAATTAAATACTTTTATACATTTACTGAATCAAATTAAATACTGTTCATAATCAAACTGTAATTAGTGTAAGGACTGTGCAGAAGTGGTTTGAAAGATTTAGAAATAATGATTTTAGTGTGGAGGATAAGGCTCGTACTGGAACACCCATTGACTTTGATGATGATGCTCTCTCTGCACTAGTTGAAGCAGAACCATCTTTAACAGTTGATGAAATTGCGGAACGTTTAAATTCATCCCATGGAACTGTTCATAGACATCTACAACAAATCGGAAAAGTTTCAAAGCTAGGAAAATGGATACCACATGAACTGTCAATAGCTAACTGACAACAACGTCAACTGCTCAACTCAAAAGCTTCAACTGGGAAATTTTACCTCATCCACCATATTTGCCAGATATTGCTCCCAGTGATTATCATCTTTTTCGGAGTTTGCAGAATTTTTTAAAAGGAAAAACTTTTGAGGATGAGAACAATGTAAAAAAGGCTATTTCTGAATATTTTGATTCAAAACCGAAATCATTTTACGAAGACGGGATTAAAAAGCTACCATCAAGATGGCAAGAAATTGTACAAAATAATGGTGAATACATTATAGATTGAAATAAGATTTAATTAAAAATTTTTGTTGCTTTTTTTGTAGATAAAAATACGCACGAACTTATGGACTGACCTGATATATAAAAATAAGTATTTCATATCAGAGTATTGAGTCTCGATACACTGATTTAATTTAACAGATAAAAAAATTATAAATTAATTAATAACTTATATCAATTTCCATAAGCTATAATTTCTTAAACTACAGAATGGAAAACAAAATACAAAAAATTTTACATTATCCCAACCACTTTTGAGCCTCTTGACTCATCTAAATGCTCAAGATAATGTAAGATTTTTTTGTTGTTGGCTTTCCCATTAAGAAATTATTTAACAGATTTTCTTTTTAATTAACATAAATTTTTGTTTTTGAATAATTATCATCTTACCTGTAAATTAAAATTTTCAAAAGGGAAGTGCAAAAGTATATTAATATCAAATTCGGTGGCATTTTTCACTCGTAAGTTTTCATAATAACTTCCAGTATAGTATAAGTCTTTATACAGTATAGTAAAAAGAGGTGAATATTTTTTCATTTCTGTAATAAGCCAATTTAAAGTATTTCTCAATACTTCAACATTTTCTTCTTGACCATTTAGTTTTACTTCATCTCGTAAAATTTCATTTACGTAAAATAAAAATGACTTTTTCTTCATTCCATAATTTCTCTGCTTTCTTTGCTGTTTTAAACTTGACCTAATTCTGTAAATATATAAAACATACATTATTATTTTTAAAAAGATATTGTACTACATTTTAATTTTTTTAAATGACTTAATTTTCAAGCAAAGTTTTTTTTGCTTACAAATGTAAAGTAGGACAATTAAGCTTTCATGTAGGATGTAGAACGTCTATCATAATTGTAGAACGTCCTACTGAAAGTAGGATGCATGGCAACCCTAAATGTACAAATCATGGTATTCTGTTATCTTTCTTAAGAATTCTGTGTATCTTTTTCTTAAGAAGAAATCAGCCAGTCTCTTCAATAACTTTAAGCAGAAAAAATGGATGATGATGATGAAAGTATTGTGAAAATGGAATTTAATGGTATTCATGAATGATTTGATCAATTTTTGATGCAAGGGCATTTCATAGTTTTATTTACTGAAGAAAGTACTTCTGGCATAAAGCATAAATGTAACTATATTGTATTTATATTTTTACTTTACATATATATTTATTATACAGTAGAGCGTCGTTTATCCGAATCAATTGGGGACTGGGGTTGTTCGGATAACTTATTTTTTGGATAACCGATTATGTACAAAAAATATATTAACCTATCCCATGTTGAAATTTTTCTCCGTTGTGTGTCGTTTTGCATTTAATTTTCGTTGATGTTAAGCCTAATGAAAACTTTTTAAAATAATAATTGTGGCTATTGTATCATTAAAAATTATTTTTTTATTTTGTACAAATAAAATAAATATATTGAAAAATATAAAAACCAAAAAATATATACTTTAGAAGTTGATCTAGTATCAAAAACGTTCGATTCGGCACGACACACAGTCCTCAGAAAAACACCACACAAAAGTGCCAGTGCTGCCAGCTAAAACACATACACCAACAAAAAAAATATTGGAGTAGCCCAAGATATAGCCAAAGATTGCAGTGCCACAGCACTAGAGAAAATTTTAATTTGCCGACTGGAACGCTTTCGGATAACCGACTTTCAGATAAACGACGCTCTACTGTACTGTATATGTAAATATAGGGTAATGGCACCAGTGGTCTGTGGCTGTATGCCACATTTTATATAGGTTTTATTTTAATTTTAAGTTTTCTTCTTTCTTCCTTCTTCTATGTCTGTCCCTTCCAGAAAATTCTTTCTCAACCCTTTCTTCTTGGATGGTGGTGACTAATCCCCTTGAACAAAGGGAAGGAAGGAAGCCTGAGGGCTTAACAGAAAGACAAGGCTAGGACATCGAAAAGATTGGATGTAAGAAGAGTGCACTTTAGTTTGTTTTTTGCAAATAGAGACGAATGAGGCCTAAGCAAGAATCAAAGCAAATTCAGTAAAGAGTAAATCATAGAGATTCCCAACCACCATCGAAGCAAATTGGATGAAAACCAGAATTTATCCATCATTCGCAAGAAAGGAAACAATTTGGAATTTTCATCACCTCAAGATCACCATTGACAACTGGGTACCCACTTTCGCCTATCCTTACTTCTATTGTCTTTTTCCATCTACTGATTTCCTTCTTCCTTAGATTTAGTTAGTTGTAAGTGTTTAGTTATAGTTCATTTTATATTTGTTGTAAAATATTCAGTAATTATTGGTGTTGCGAGAATAGTGTTAACAACTACTCATTCTCTCAACTTTTGTATGGCATATATTGTAAACTTGTATACTGGGACGAGCTGGTATTCCAAAGAACTGTTATACTTTATGCGAAATAAAGATGGTACTATTATTAATATCTTTGTAATTCTCATTTGATACTTATGTGCGAAATGAGAATTACAAATGTCAACCACTAACACTGTTTTGGACTTAGATATTTCTTATTACAATGTAGTAACACTAAAATTTAAAATTTATATGTGAAAATAAACTTTGTTCTATACTTGTCATGAAAAAAAAACATTTTTTATTAGACCTTTGTTTACATTATGAAAAAAATAATAATTTAATCACAGAGAATATTCACCCAGAGTCAACCACACGATTGCAAGATTGTTTATGATGGTTGACAACTGGATTTTCCTTTTTGATTATTGAGCTTGCCTATTGTTTATGATGGTTGACAACTGGATTATTGAGCTTGCCTATCCAACACAGTTGTCACAAATGTGACAACTGTGAAAGGATAGGCAAGCTCAATAATAGGCATTTTGTAGAAAACTCACACCTGAAGTGCAGAGCCCTCATTATCTTCTAAAGACCTGACAATGCCTCACTGTATGGTTAACTATCAGAAGACTACCTGCATACTAATTTTTCCCATCATGAGTGAGGCAACCTGTTATTCTTACATGTCACTGAGAACGGGGTTATCTTACGATGCCACCTGTAAAGATGGCTTGCCTAAACATGTTAATTAAGCACAGATTTCAGCTTACATGGTCAACTACTAGAAGCAGTCAATAATAGGCACCCCTACCCTATATAATATATACATTTACTCATATAACATCATTCTTGCTTTTACTATATGTTAGTATTATTTTGTGTTATTTAGTAGGTAAATTTTGGTCTGGAAACAGTCAAAAGTTTTTCCTATATAAATTAATGACAACTGCTTCTTTACTTTATGCTATTTCAGCTTTAAAAATGTTTCATAGGAATGTTCTACTTTTAGACAGTGTAGTACAACTTTTATCAGGGAACCTATATATGTAATAGACTATAATAAAATATAAAAACATAGATGAACCTTAGAATTAACTGTCAAGAGCTGAAGACCTGGGAGTTCCCCATCTTATCAGGAGAGTGCTACTGTATGGGCAAACTGGGCATTTCTAATATGTATGACATTTTAAAATAAATTTTTTTCATTTTATGTAGGAGAATAAGGGGTGTGAAATGCATGTCTTGCCCCAGACAGAAAAAAAACTCTAGCACCAGTCTTGCATCTTGTAAAAATATATCATGAATAAAATCAAGGGCATAGGAACAGTCCGGCCAGACCACTATTGCTGCCAACATTACAAATACAATTCTAATCGGATGTAAGTATTGATTCTACACAATTATAAGTTATTATAGAATTCTTAAATCCGATCCGGTCAATGTTCAGATGCGTGCCACATCATGGCGGCACTTCCGTTTTTAGCCTCAAAACTGTACGCCTGTCGAGACGACGTGTCACGTGACGACGCGAGCGAAGGGCGTCGGCGGCTGTTGCGCCGCGGCAGCCGCCGACAAATGACTGCGGACAAAGGTGAGTAAAAAAAACCTTTTTATTTTATTATTTTGGTTAAAGTCCAGATACTTACTGTCATGGCGGCTCATCGCCGATTCNGAGCATTTCTTTCTTTTGAAATATGATCAATTATTTTTTTGAGTTTGAAATGTATGTTATCTAACTGTTTTCCACTAATTTTATGAAACAAATTAAAATCAGGATACATGATATGAGGTAGATGTTTATCACAAACATAGTTATCAAGTTTTCTCAGCATCTGAAAACAAAATTACAGTTTTAAATAAAAAAAATTACACTCTTAGAAACAAAGATAATTATTGAGATTGAGCATAAATGTCACATATTTCTTAATGTTAAAATGATAAATAAAGAATACTTTCTATGGAGATTCCCATTACAGTGAAACCTGGTTAACTCGAATTGGTTGGGGGAAAAATCAAGATTTTGTGCATCAGTTTATCGGCGACTAGGGACATCATGATACTGCTGATACTGTTACTGTAATGATACTTTCCTTTGATACTGAGTACTTTTGTACTCAATATCAAAGGAAAGTACTTTTGGTCCAATACTGATATTGATACCAGATCAGACACCAAAAGAAAAGTATCATTACATTTTACACAGATGGGTAAGTTCTGACCAAAACTGGATCTTGCAGCCAAATTAAAATGGAATTTTATACTATTTTCAGTTAAACTTATATAAAACATATTAATGATCAAAACTCAATAAATGTATTACATCAAATTTTATTTCCAGAATCTATATATGCTTAGAGTTCTAATTACTAGTTATAAATAAATATGTAGTTAAACATTATGCAGTACTTTTCTTTGTTAAAGAACTTGGATCTGCAGTGATGTTTAAAATAAACTACAATTTGTATATACTTGTTTGCACTTACATTTGTAAAATTTGAACACACTAAACAACTTTCAATGTAAAGACACTGTTTTGCCTCTTCACCAACAACTTATTCACCCCTATTCCATGTATAGTAGTACCCACAGTCCATTAACAGGACTGTAGATCTAGGGCTTCTTTTGTGTACATAAGATATCATACAAGTGTCAAATACTGACTGATACACTGACTTCTGAACCATATAGCCAGGATTCAATTCCCTGAAGTAAGCAAAAAAAGATTAATTGCTGCTCTAAGGCCCACTCAGTCTTCATTGCAATGAGTACAGTACAACTATCCCTCTTTTTACATGATCCATTTTACACGATTTTGAAATAATGTGGTCAACAAAAGAAAACTAATCCTCTTTTTATGCAATTGATTCTTTAACATGGGACAAACAATTTATTTGAAAAGTTTTAAATTTAACTTTTTGTTAAAATTGTGTTATTGTTAAAAACATTTTTTGTTGAAATCATGAGTTAATTTTTTAAGGACAGTGCAGTACTATATATACTGTACTTTCATGTACTGTACTTTTTATGCATTCTTTTTTTTACACAGTGATCTTTGGAACATTTCCACCAATTCAAAAAGAGTTACAGGTGTATCTTCTCAGCAGTAAAAACAACTGGAAGGTGACGCAACAGACTGAACAGTGACAGCTGGCAAGATTTCCAGTTTCAATACCTAATGCTGATACTGGCTAATACTTTAAGTTCACTGTTACATGAAGATCACACCAATATAATAGAACATTAATCAATGCCTTGTACAGTAGATGCACTATGGAAGCTCAATCCCATTTCACAAAACAATCTTCCTATTCCTTCATCTTTGTCAATAAAACCAAACCTATTCATCCCCAACTTTTTCCCCTCTACTTCTGTTTTTATCATCTTCCTTAACTGTCATTCTAACAAACTTTTCTTTTAAAATTCTTTTCTCCAATTGGTTGGACTTGGAACATTCCAAGTGTTAATTCGGGGGTAAATTCTGATATCACTACATACAAGATTAGAGTTAACCAGCTTGATTTATCATAATTTTATGAAAATTCAATAAAATTACTTTTCCCAGAATTTTACAATAGTTGTATTTTTTTAAGAAAAATGACACTAAATAAAATAAACACTTTCCAAAACAGACTTGATATACTATAATGAGACATTATGCCATAATTCAAGCTTATAAAACTTGAGTATAACTATTATTACAAATATGTATAATAATGAACAAGTGATATTGCCAAATTTTAAACTGAGCTATAATATGGCTAATTATAAAGATATATTATGTAATTTAGACTAAAGGTAGGCAGTTAATCTACCATCTTGTATTAAATTTAATAATTACAAAATTACTTTGATCATTTCTTCCAGAATATTCTAAATCTGGAATGAGATTTGAATCTAACTCCTGTTTATCATGCAGACACATTGCCAATTATGCTGCATTTATCATTGCTTCCAGACCAATTACACTTATAGTTTATAAATTAATTGTGATTATCTTTAAAATTTTATTAAGAAAATTACAAAAAATATGCTATTGTATGAAAAAAAAAAGTAAATGAATACTTATATTAATTTTATTTATATTCAGAAATGCTAAAGTAACAAATTAACAATAAACTCATGCATTACTTACATTTAAAAACATATGGCCAGCCTGATCTTGATTCCAATTTAAGTCTTTGTTGTTGGCAATTGCATGCATTACCACTGTTTTTATGTAATATGACACAAGACTTTTCCATTCTTGTCTGTCTCTTAGCAACTGTTAAGAAAAATAAGCATATAATTCATTAATGCTCATGTTGAGGAAAAAACATTCTGGTAGTTTTTATTCTATATAACATAGACTTATTTCATAATTTTAAAAAGTTATAAAAAATCTCAAATATTTAAATACTTAGTAATACATTTGAGAGAATGGGAGGTTCCGATCGACTCCATCTCACTGTTTGATAGCCATAATTCATCATTGAAAGTCTAGAATATGCAAATACCTTAACTTCATGAATTATTGTCAAGATCTGACATCAGTTAGGATAAGTTTAGCTGCATCCTAATTTGCAAATTTGTCCTTTCAAGTGGAAAAGGTACATTAAAATTTTACAGGAAATTTAGGAGGGTCTAAATTGAAACATTGATAACGTGGGCCAACGATGGAGTTAGGCAAAAATAAATCAAATGTAATAATAATCAAAACGATATATTTATTAAGCATGGATGAACGAAAATTATTATACAAATGGATTAAATTCTAAATAAAATAAAATAACATCAAGGAATACAAAAATCTAATGATAAATGATCCTTACAGGAATATGAGCTAATGTCAACCTATCATCTAGCTCCTTTCTTGGAGAGAGCGAGGTTACATAAATTCATGTTACCTGTGATACATATTCACTTGATGTTGAGTGCCAAAATTCTTGAAAATGAGGCACAAATTAAAATATTCTTTCTACTATCTTATCTCATCTCAGTGGAGAACAAGTGAGAGCTGGAGAATCAGGAGCACAAATCTTACATGAGTAAAGAACTCGAGTAGAGAATTGGGGAGAGGGAATGGGAGTGATGGTGAGAGTGTATTTGGGAGGTGACCTACCACCTTTTATATGAAAATTTCATCCAATTGGATTATTTGAAATAAGCTCTCTGATGTGTGATGAAAGAAGTTGGGTGGTCTTGTGGATAGAGTGTGAGAAATCCTACACTATTGCTTTTGGAGGAACTGAGTTGTTTTCATCCATCAAAAACAGAGTTCCTTTTTCAACTTCACTTAATTTTTATAAGATATAATTTTTGATAGGAATTTATCTAACAAAAATTTGTTATTTAATTTAACAATTTAAATCATCAAACCCAGATTCTCACACAATAAATATATTAAAAATATATTGAGAATCTTCAATCTATACATACATATGCTTTTTCGAATTATTTTCAAATATTTCTTAACCTGCTGAAAATATAACTAAACCTATATGATTATTCTATATTCAAGAAAATTTTTCAGACTATTTCACAATAAGTGCCATCTGGATCAAAAGATAACAGATTATATATTCTATTAAGATAACTCAGGTTTGAGCCTCATTTAAATTATACTTTCTTCTGATTATTTAATTATATCAGTAATTGATGGTTAATAATTTATACATAATTATGCAATGATCATTTGACAGAAGGTTAGACAAATTTAACAGTAATTTTTTCCAGTTTTATTTTTTATGTTATATTTATTAAAATAATTACCTTCATTAACTTTATAACAGATTTTATACAGCTGTTGTCTTTAGTCAATAAAATATTTTCAACTCCTGGAAAATGAAGTCTCCAAAATTCTAATCTCCTATTTGATCGACAAATATTTTCAGACGGAGGTTTTGGAATCATTAGGCAAATCCTTTGCTAAAAGAATTATTTTATTTTATTAAATTATAGAAAATTAAGACTTTTTTAAAATATAAATAGGCAAACTCCATTAATACAAAGTTAAAAGATTTAAAAATTGACACTTTAAATTAACAAAATTTGTATTAATCAAACTCATTAATAACATTGAAATACTCATCCTCAATGGGAACACAAATCTACTTTGATTAAACTAACAATGGAATTTGAATGTATATTCAATATAACAAAAATGTAATGTAAAATGCTATATAAAATAGAAGTTATGATTATCTAGATATATATGAAAATGTTTGTTTGTTCGCTATACACTCCTAGGCCATTCAACCAATTGCTATGAAATTCAGCAGTTACATTCAAATATGTGTAACTTAGATAATGTTGTACATCCCACCCCAAAATATCAATTACATTTCTATAAAATTAATTACTTCTCATTTACATTTGATTTGCTGATTTACACATAGTACNCGTCGTCACGTGACACGTCGTCTCGACAGGCGTACGGTTTTGAGGCTAAAAACGGAAGTGCCGCCATGATGTGGCACGCATCTGAACATTGACCTCAGATCCTAATATTATATTCAATTACATTAAATTAAGAAATAATTAGCTAAACAAATCGAATGTTATAATATTAAATGCTGAAATTACCTATGACGGTTACTATACGTCATTTTCGGTCAGCTTCTTTCGTTCAATAAATTTATAAAACTTCAATTTTCGTCTTCCCTCTGTAAGTTATGACTAAATTCTTCTATATGAACCAACTGATGATCTATGCAGAGTTCTGGATATCTTATTCGGTGTTCGTGATAGACCGGCCAGATGAGAAATAATTGGACATTTCTTCTTCCCTTTATATAGAGAAAATAAAGCTAAACTAAAACCGCTACCAAACACCACTTCTATATCTGCATTTATAATGACAGGGCGAACAAAGATAACCATTGGTTATTACGAGAAATTCCTAACTCACATCCAATACACGAAAACAACGTAAATATGAACGGGCGTGTCGGAACACCGAAAACGAAACTGCCATTCGTATATCAACACACGTTTCATCCGATGACAGCAACACGTGGTCCACTCCGTGACGTCATCTGATTGGCGGGGAAAAACGCGGCTGATATAATCTGAATCTAATATAATCAATTTTCTAAATCCGTAATCTCATTCCAGAAAAGAACAAGAAAAATATTAAAAAATGTTTTACTTTCATTCATTTTACGATTAAATAACAGGAGCTTATTTAATTGAACGAAATGATGTTTTACGTCACTTCCACTTCCGAAGTAAAGATTACGTCACAAATAGGAATAGCATTGTTTCTGAAAATAACGCTGTGTTACTTGATGTGTTTGTAAACACTGTCCACTAGGGGCGTGCCGTGACATTTGATGATAGGGAAGCTGTGTTTTTGTAACAAGCCGACTTCCAGGGGCAATCAGTCAGCGATGGTCTAGGGTCCATTCGTATTCGTTTGTTCGATAAACCAGTAAAAACCGTAGATTTCTCTAAATGTATTTTTAATTAATAGATTATCTAACGCACTTAATAAATAAGCAAGTTCAATATAATTAACTCTGTTATATTAGATTTAATAGATTCTCTACGCCCTCTAAATGCTAATTCTCGCTTCGATAACATCTAATAATTAAAATATAATATATCTATTAGTCGTAACTATCTCGTTATAATTTTCANTATCTAGATATATATGAAAATGTTTGTTTGTTCGCTATACACTCCTAGGCCATTCAACCAATTGCTATGAAATTCAGCAGTTACATTCAAATATGTGTAACTTAGATAATGTTGTACATCCCACCCCAAAATATCAATTACATTTCTATAAAATTAATTACTTCTCATTTACATTTGATTTGCTGATTTACACATAGTACCATCTATTGGCAAAAAAGTTAACAAAATAAACTAAATATAATTTTATAAATTTTTAAAAATTATATTATATTCACTTAATTACTGCAACAATGATATAGTGTGAGATAAACACACTATATCATTACTGACAAGTGAGACAGGTAACATAACAATATCTTGTGTGAAATCAAAAGTGTTTAAGCCTGTGAATAGCCTATAATTATTTAATTTTCCACATCTAACAATGCAGGTTTTTTATTTATAAACTGTACTTTCTTAATTCTAGTAAGTACCCTTCAGTAGTCAAGTGGATAAAACCACCAAATACTGGTACTTAGTTACTTGTGAGTTTGGGCATCCATAAAAGTTGTCCCAGGATGCATCCCCTCAGTAGATCGTCCACATTTATCATTGCAGTAACAAAATAAATCAAACTAATTTTAACAAGCAATTATTTATCGTAACATCATCACAATGCTGAGCTATTACTTTTTGTCAGAGCATTCTTGATTTTTTCTAGTGGTGGTCTTGCCCCTGTACATCATACTTTTCCTGTTAGCAATACTTTTAACCTATCCCATGTTGAAATTTTTCTCTGTTATATGTGGCCGCCATATTGAATTTTTGTTGATGTTAAGCGTAACAAAAAAAATCTTTTTTTTTTTTTTAAATAATAATCGTGGCTACTGTATTGTTAAAAATTATTTTTTTATTTTGCACAAAAAAAATAAATATATTGAAAAATATAAAAACAAAAAAATTATATTTTGAAAGTTTGTTTTAATATAAACATTATGATGCATAGCAACATCTAGTATCAAAAACATACCAATACTGTAACAAGATATATCAGACTTAACCCTGCAGGTCAAACGACCCCGATATATGTTTGGAATAACAGTTGAGGTTAAAGAAGTGATGAAATAAGACATTAGAATTGTTTTTGAACCATATCACAAAGAAATATGATGATCTGATAAAAAAAAAAAAAAAAAAAGGCAAGCTTTGTTTAGATTCATATCGGAATTTTGCATCGACAAAATTCGATTGCGGATAATTCTTTTCCTTTACAGTCTATCAATGTTTATCGATTGAAAAATATAAGAAAAAGTTTGCGAAATTGCACTAGCAGATTACAATTTGCAAAAGTTACGATGAGAATTTTATTTTTCATGGCTTTTATCGACTGGTCGAGCGATAAAACTTATCCGAATTGCGGGAATAATGAGCGTTTAGCGTTATTGATTTTTCCTTAAATTTTAAAATGTTACTTTAAAAAATACTCAACTAATTCAGATTGGATTAAATAATCTGGATTGTAGAGAATTTCAAAATATAGTAGAATTTTATAAATTTTAATGAATTAATAACGTTATTTATATATTTACGTTGAGTAATATCATGTATTACGCAGAGAAAACATAGAAATGATCTTTGTAACTTGGTTATCTCTTGAACGTATTTAGTTTGGCAATAACATACCAGAAAGTAAACCAAGATATAAAAATAGACATTAGAATTTACATTTCTATTTGCATTACATAATGAAAATATAAGAAATTATAAAAATTTTTCTTCGATAAGTTTATTTCTTATCGATTTTTTAAAATGTCCTTTCTCGAAAAACTTTCTTTTTTTGTGACTAAAAAGCGTGTTATGAGTCCCATTCAATGATTATTTCGATACATCTTTCCAAGCGTAAAATATGTTTTCTCAATTCGTAACTCAATTATTAACAACAATCTGGTGAGTGCCAATTACTAATTTATTTATTGTTAAATGTTAAGAAAATATTTTAATAAGTAATGCTTTGTTTTCTGACATATCTCGGTTTTACTTTCGGAATACTTTTACTATGATAAAAGCTATCTTATCGAAGTTTCTCCGAAAATTCCATACACGTTGCGATTTCAATTCTGACATTTGAAATTTTAACAGTTTTATGAAGTGGCATGATATTTAAATGTGGCTAAAGATAATTATGTGTTGTTTTTAATGTGAATCACGGAAATGAATTACGAGTTATTACATCTTTTACATATTCATCGTATGACTCGCACTTTATTCAATACAATGGATGCAATAATGAGATTTACATGTAGGCCAATTGGAATTTTAAGCAATTTATGCAATACCTAAACATGATTAAGCAATAAAAATTTTATTTCTTCTACAATTATCACGTTTTAAAAAGTCACCATGCAAAAATACCAGACTAATATGTCACCAGTGTATTTTGGATGATGATAAAGACAAGCATCTTCTCTTTAGATTTCGTACACATATTACTAAGAATTAAATCATTTTAATTTAATTTTAAATATAAATTATTTTTTATATAAAAAAAATATGCATTAAAATCTTTATCAAAACCATAAAGTATATTAATGCAAAAAATTAAGTGATATAAATATAACGTACTTACGCACACATAAATCCTGAATCGGAATTATTCGTCTTTTTTGCCTGTTATAAAACAGGCATCACCTAACATACATCTTCCATTCTCTACGTCCAGTATCGAAGAGACTCGCTGCCGCCATCTTAGATTTGTTTCCACAACGCCATCTGTTATAATGATGTTTATTAATAATGGTTATATCATTTTAATATATTAAGAATAATTTAATTTTTAAATAATAAAAAGTCTTTAAATTATATTTTAAGTATAATTTTTTATTTTCAATGCTATTTAAATATAACTTTTATATTTAAATATCTTCTAAGTATTGTATATTTAAACATTTATTCAATAGTTCTTGATGTAACATTTATAATTAAAGTATTTAAGAAACAATTTTAAATTTCCTTTATTTTGTATACCGGCAAAAATTTAAAGAGAATTAATTTGAAACTCATAGTAAAGTCAATTTTTTAACTTAGTCACTGAAACAAAGATGTACAGTATTCTGAAAGTTTAATCTACTCTTCATGTTTTCGCCAGTAGCAGTAAAGTTTATGCATAATAAAAAAATAAATACTGTAATTACGGATTAGAAAAAATACGTTCACCTCCGTCACGGTATATTATTAATTAAACAAAAAGTTTATTTTAAAAGTTAAATTTAAAAAATGTAGCAACAAGTTGCTTAACTTTTTCAACAACATTTAAAACTGCGTGTGACGCCATCTGTTATGATATTTTATTTAAAATAAACTTTTTATATTTTTAATTTTTATAAAATAGCAAAAACCTTAATTTTGAAGGTAGAGATGACTTTTTAATGTTAATAACGAGTAAAATTGTCATTAAGTCCGACTCTATTTGAGAAGTCGCACGACCCCTGGCCTGTATCTCCTTGTCCCCCGTCTTTTAACCACCAAACTTTAACAGAATCAATTCCCCAAATACACAAATCTCCCTGCAAAATTTCAGAAAATTTCGAAAAAAGTACAGGAATTATTAAGTTTCAAAGTAGGTGAAGAAAATCTTGGCTCCCACACATCCATGCATACAGAAAAAATTCCGAAGTTTTTTGCATTTCTCAACGTTTCAAGGTTTTCTGAGTCCAAAAATGTAAAAATCTTGGGGTCATTTTTGACCGATTACCATACTTTTCCCCTGTTATATATAACAGGAAAGTAAAAATGCCGATTTGGAGTTTTAATATTATCATAACACACCTGTTATGTTGCCGAGATAGTTTTATTTCAACCTGAGGATGGCCTATGGAATACACCATCCTCAGGTTGAACCAGAGAATTGGAACATCGGCAATTCAATTTTCTGGTTCAAAAGTTTGCCACGAACTCATAATTTATACCTTAGTTTATAATTGCATGTTTTATCAATATACCTTAATAATTCATTAAGGTTTTTAATGTTTGTTNACATAAATCGTAAATTTAAGGAAAATAAATTCTAGAGCTTTTTCTATACCTCGTGCATCTCTCTCATTCATTAAATTTAGTCGTAAATAACGCTGTCGAAGTAACGGTTAATTTTTTAACATTGTACAAGAATTGTACACGTTTTTTTCTATATCCCCTTAGAGATGGGACGTACGAAATCGTAATATCACCGGTTTAACATTGAAATCCGTGAGTAATATAAAATCGGAGAGCGGAATAAAAATATCAAATATTTTAATGGATTTTTTAAACTCCTGTCAACTATACGGAACTATCGTAAAAACATACCAGTAAATTCTTATCGGTTGGGTTAAGTTATAAATCTACTCGTTATTCACGTAATCGGCAAAATATCTAGCGGGCGGGCGGCTAACAGCCCGCCCGCTGCTATTATTATGTTGTATAACAGCGCCACTGCTATACAACATAATAATATAGTAGGCCTGGTAAATTATGGGATAATGAAGCTGTAGTGTATAGGCTATATTTTTTAAAAATTTAGTACATAAGTATATTAATATATACACATATTAACACAACGTCTGCCAACGAAATGAATGATAAAACTGCCGTACAAAGTACATACAGAACATCACACCAGTAATACAATAACAGAGAACTAGTGTTTTGAATGATTTTAGTAATTGCAACTGAGG